ATTTAAGTAACTATTAAATATTTTGAAAATTTTTAGTTTTCTTTTATTCTTTAAAATGCGTTTTATTGAACTAAATTTAAAATATTAAGGTAAGTATTCTTTAAAACTTAAACTTTGAAAAAGTTCTAAAGGTACTTATAACTCTGAAATGTAAAATTTGATAACTAGATTCAATAGAGCACAATTCAATGAACAAAATGAAGCTAAATGTACTAAAAAATACTAATTAGATTCTTAAGTAGGGAAATTTCGTTTAATTAATTCTACTTGGACTAACATGGGTTTGTGCAATCTTTATTGTCCGCAGGGGACCCTAAAAGATTTCATTTTCTAAAACTAGCGATCTGCAGACAAATTTATGATGACACATCTTTCTTTTATTCTAAAATTAAGACGAGGTTTCTAACAAAGACAGTCTCGGTTTCGAGTTCTATTGTTACTTTGATTCAATAAAAGGTTATTTAATATGCTGCAGCCGAAATTCGTAAGATATTTAGTTTCACTTTATTAAGGAATTGTTCTTTAAAAATGCATGCTTCACATCAAAAGTTACCGAAATTTTACGCTTAATAAATCATGAATGGCAAAGTTTTTAAATTTCGACTCGTAGGCGGACAGCCTTGGACAAAATGTTCGATAATATCCTTATTTAAGCCCCACTTTTGTTACATCGAACAAATGAATAGCTATTAACTTTAAATTTTTTAACATGTTTTTGAATTGATGGGGTTAACTAGCGTAATTTAAGAAATTTGAAATTATATTTTAGAATAATTGATGAGCAATTAAATACAACTTAATGATTCTAGAATTATATCTCTGACCAGCATAATTAAAAAAATAATTTTCATGCACATTGCTTTTTTTGAGAACGAGGATGCATATTTATCTAAATATGGAACAGCAATGCCCGCCTAAATTGATTCGAATAATATATGGAGTCTACATAGAGTCTTTTAGAATGTTATATAAGCATGCCTTTGTTCATTTTTTATATTTTTCTATCTTCTTCATTGTCAGCTGAAATAAATAACGTATCTTAGTCATAAGCTGTCATCTCAAATAAACAAAGCATCTTACTCATAAGCTATCAGCTGAAATAAACAACGTATCTTACTCATAAGCTGTCAACTGAAATAAATAACGTAACTTACTCATAAGCTATCGGCAGAAATAAACAAAGTATCTTACTCCTNCATATTTATCTAAATATGGAACAGCAATGCCCGCCTAAATTGATTCGAATAATATATGGAGTCTACATAGAGTCTTTTAGAATGTTATATAAGCATGCCTTTGTTCATTTTTTATATTTTTCTATCTTCTTCATTGTCAGCTGAAATAAATTACGTATCCTACTCATAAGCTGTCATCTCAAATAAACAAAGTATCTTACTCATAAGCAATCAGCTGAAATAAACAACGTATCTTACTCATGAACTGTCAGCTTAAATAAACAACGTATCTTACTCATAAGCTGTCAACTGAAATAAATAACGTAACTTACTCATAAGTTATCGGCAGAAATAAACAAAGTATCTTACTTATAAGCTGTCAGCTGAAATGAACAACATGTCTTACTCACAAGCTGTCAGCTGAAATAAGCAACGTATCTTACTCATAAGCTGTCAGCAGAAGTGAACAGCGTATGTTACTCATAAGCTGTCAGCTGAAATAAACAATGTATCAACTTTCAATATCGTAAACTTACCATTGATTTTATTTTTCAAAATTAATTCTATTTTATTATTTTTTTTTATTTTGAAAATTTAAAGGCAAAGGGAAATAAGTGTCTTGATTTCTCGTATACCCTCGAAACATTTTAGCTACAATCAAATAAAAACCAAACATTAAAAAATAAATTTTGATAGCTGAAGCGAGAATATGTTAGCTATTGTGTACTATGATGCAACAATCGAATAAATGATATTCTTCCCTTCAATCATTTTATAAAGATGACAACTTGATGTTCATCCTTTTTCTATGAAAAGGTTTTTCGAAATTTACAATAATAGTTTTTTTTATTTTATTTTATCAAAATGGGAAGAGGGGATTTTCAACCTCTCCCCCCCCCTTCATTCTTTGTCACGTTTTTTATCTTCTTTTTCTCTTCCTGGGGGATGGAAAAGCTGATTCTGCCAAAATCTTGATTAATATATTCAGAGAAGATACTCGCATGAATGAACTTCTTTCACTTATGATTTGTTCGATAAGGAAAACTAAAAGATTTTTGGTTTTCTAAAGTTTATTCTTACTGCCATTCTGCTACTTTTTATCAGAATAGAAAAGAAGAAGAAGAAGAAGAAGTTATAAAAACTGTGATAAAAATATTTATTTCAAAGCTACGTCAAGCGATGAAAAGAATTATTTGTTAATAGAAAAAGAATTTCTTTGTGCTATTTATGAAAATAGCTCCTAATATTTTCTTTACTGGCTATTTTAACGATAATGTAAGAATGTTGCTGTAAAAACAAAATTATCCATCAGCACTTAAAGTAATTGCAGTGTCCGAAATATTTGTCAACCCTTCTTAGCAGAACAACAAATTTCGAATGTAAATTTTAATCAGGCAATGCATTAAGAACTGCTACTTTAAACAGTGTATTCTTTAAAAAAGAAAGACATGCTTTATCCCTTTGTTACTTAAAAAATAGTGGTAGCTAAAAATTATTGAACGTTTAGAAGCAAATAGTTTTACAGTTCTGGTGGTTTGTTACATTATTGAATTTAGTTTTACCTTTATTTTTGGAAGTGTTAATGTGTAATGAGTCGCAAGCCGCCTCTGGCTCTCAGATGTTCTTATACAGTACAGTTCAGTTCAGCATGCAATACCCTGTTAAATACCCCAAAAAATCTTAGATTTTTATTCGTTTTTCTCTACAACTACAAATGTCAACATTAAACTTGCACTGCCGGTGAGTTTTGAGTAAAAACATTTTTATAACATTATTTCTCACTTACGGTCCGGCCTATCAGTGCTTACAGAATGTCGACATTTGCATGAGTAAATAACAAATAGTGATATTGAACGAAAAGATTATTTTTTTTAATATTCACCATTATCAAGATTTTAACGACATCCATGCTGAGTTTTGTTGTTTCATAATTAATATTTATCATGGATAAGAGAAACCGTATCCACCAAAATATTTAAATAACACTAAAATCTATATTTCATACTGAAATATCGTCGTTGTTATATTTTAAACCAAATAGCTAAATGAATGAAATATTTCTTAATTTAGTCTCAAATGTGCCATCACTTTTGCTTATAAAGTCACTTTTTTAACTTTTACAAAAACATGAGTTTGACGGGTAAATGGTAAAATCAAATTTATTTAACCCAAGTTATTTGTAGAAGCATTAATTTGCACCCAGATTTAATATTTGAGAATAGCTTTCACCAAAAGAGTTAAAAGTTGGCAACAGGTCTGCTACTCATCCAGAAAATCTATGAGTCAACTGATTGTGAAATATGTCTTTTTTACCTTTTATAAAGTAGAGCAAACAGTGTTGCCTACTATTTACTAGCATTTATAGCCACTACTTAGCACGTTGAATGCCACGCTAGTTTTACACGACTTGGCCGAATGGTAAATTACTACAAACTAAATTTGCAAAGATTAGACAGATTTTACTAGTTTTTAAAAAGGTTTAGCATGACATATCTGAAAAAAGTGTTGAATTATATAAGCCTACGAATTGTTTAGAAATAGCGGTGGATAANAAAGTTTTCGGAACTTCAGTGTTCAAAAAAGTATACAAAAGCTAGACGTTAAGAACGTATCCAATGAGCGAGCAAAGCGAGCATCGGATTAGGAAGCAATCCGAAATGAACTGCGAAAGCAGTTCCGGGGGTTGGCGAGCGCCAGCGAGCAGGGGGCGAAGCCTCCTAGTTGTTTAGAAATAGCGGTGAATAAAAATCTACTAAATTGAATTTATTAAACCAAGAACCACAATTAATAAACTACCACTGAAAAATATTTACTCGCTCTCCGGAGCAAGTTGGCATCTCTGTGTACATAAATGAAACTATTCTTGTGTGTTACATATTGCATTAATTTCTTCAAACTATTTTAATAACGATAATAATCTATTAAAATTAAAAATTTACTCGAATATTGTGTTTCTAATGATCTTGGCTTCGCCGGTGACCGATGACCCCCATGGCATTCAACATGTTAACAGTTATATTACTCAACTTTGCTCGGTTTTAATCTTCTATTAAAGCACTGTATGCTTCCCTCTTTATTGGATCGAAGAAAAAATTTCCAGATTTGAAGGAGAGCTTAAGGAATTTATTTATAGCATTTAGATAGATTTTCATTGCTTTTTCTACTTTCAAAAAATTAATAACCTAGTGGTTAAAGTTACCTGGACAACAGGGTAACTTTTCCCACTATACATTTTCTATTGACACTACTCTAAAGTCACCTTTTTGGAAATCTTGAAAAAAATTGCCAATTTAACTATTTTTTACTATAAAGGCAAAGTATGCTTTTTGTACACCATTTGCATTTCAACTACTACTATAATTTCCCTTTAACGTCGAAGTTTTAAGATGAATGGAAATAAGACTGCAAGTAGCCTCAGGTGACCACTTGAAAGGACAATATCAGAATCCTTCCTTTGTAGGGGGTAAAATGAGCAACAAAAAAAAAATTACGAACAGCAGGAAGAATTTTTTTTTATCGCTATTTATAATTAATACTTTTAATTATGTTTATACTATGAACTCGTTATAGTGTTACATTTTAAATTATAAAATTTTAATACATTATTATGAATATTAATAAGGAAAGAAACGCGTGCAGAATTACGTTGTTCCAATTAATTTTCAAAAAATCCTTGAGAAATCTGTCCTCTTCTTCGGTATGGAATTTTTTTTTCTATTTTAGGAAAAGACAATTTAAAATTTATTTTGTCTTTATTTTCTGGACTTATTAGTTTTACCATTTATTATTACTTTGTCACTTGTGATATCGTTTTTAATCTTTCAGGTGGAAAAGGGGATGCTTTCTACCGAGATAACATTTTACCAGTGGGCACTATTATATTTTCTTTGCTTCATCAATAAACCGGTAAGAATACTTCGTTTTTTTTATATTCTTACTGCATGTTTAATGTTACATAAAATTATGATTATTAAATAGAGAAATAATAATAAGTTTTATTTATTGCTCATAAGTTGCAAATACATGGAACCCATAAAATAAGTTAAAATCTCGAAAAAGACAGGGAAAAAAATTTATAAATTTTTTAAAGTTACTTACCAATTTGTTAGCTACCTTGGAATGGCTCGAAATCGGATATGCGCATGGTAATTACATTATACTGGATAATTCAAAGTTTCTAAGTAATAAGTTTGAATTTCAATTATAAAATTTTAATATTGACGATTTTAGAGAAATTAATTAAATTATTTTTAAAAAAGTTCATTAAAAAAGAGTATTTATTATACATTAGAAAATTTTTAGCCATGGATTCGCCCGAATTGGATTTGTGCACGGCAAAAATATAACTTTAGTTACAAAGAAATGTTTAATAAATTTATTAATAATTATAACATACAACTTACTCAATGTAAACGATACAACTTACTCAGTACTTATTCTACAATATAAGATGAAATAAAATGAGTTATTACCTCATAAAAGAACACTAAAAGTATCAGCACAGAAGAAGAAAACCAAAATCATTAACACGAAATAACAAACTAAATAATAAAGCACTACTTGAAGTAACAGCCTAACTATGAAAAAGGTTAATAATTAAAGTAGAAGCACTGACATACATGTTAGCATAGGGGGATATTACCATGCTATTCGGAATGCAACATCAATCATGCAATTTGGAATTTTATATCTTATACCCATAGATAGAATTAAAAATGTAATTTAAAAGGTCAATAAACGATAATCACAATATTAATGTATTGCATTCATTTAAATTACATTCATTACCTCGTCAATTACATTCGATCATCGAAGTATGTCATCAGACATACCCCGTCAACAATGCGTTAAAGACACGTTTCTTTTTCCTTTCTTTTTTCTTTTTTTAAGAAGGAAAAAAAATGGTAGCACAAGTGTTTTATCCTCAGAAATGTGACAGCTCTGTGTACCATAGCTAATTAATAAAATAAATACTTGTATTCCTATCTGAAGACAAAGTATGGCACTTCTTGGAAGCTATAAAATTGCAGGTAGAAATGTTTACATATAGTATAGTAACAATTTATATATAAAAGCATATATGTTATATATATGCTTTTATATATAAATTGTTCACGTAAGTGATTTTCATATATCGACGCATTTTTATTTCTATTCATTAACAGGATAAATAATCCAATTTCAAATAATTGTCCTCTATTTTTCAAGAGCATTTAAGACTTCAGAAATTCGTCAAATGATTCAATATTTGTTTCGAATAGTATTTAAGCTATTGATTGCACTGTAAGTTTATGGAAAGGAAAATGCATTTTCGTCCTACGCAAACTTCGAGAGGTTGGATTGTCATGAGTCTCTACATTTATTTCTGTTGCCTTTTTGACAGTTTGATAAGTGAACACGGAACTGTAGATTATGTTATGCTTGTTACTTAAAAACCAAGGCGTTATTTAAATGCCAACTTAACATATAGTTTTCTACCCTGGTTATCTCATAGTTGAAATCGCAATTATAACTCCTTTATTCTAACTGACATTTAATGTTTGATAAATGCCATTTGTTGCATGTTGTTATCCTGATTAACCATGCTTGAGGCATATAAGGTCTCATGTACATTTGTTTAATACCTTATTTGAAATTCTTTATCCTTTTATTTTAATCTATTTATCATTTATTTCAATCTATTTATTATTTTATTCTAATCTATTTATTATTTATTTCAATCTATTTATTATTTATTTCAATCTATTTATTAGTTATTTCAATATATTTATTATTTATTTCAGTCTATTTATTATTTATTTATACCAATGAATTTCAATTAATTCTTTAGTTCAGAATTTTAATTAAATACATTTTCCATGCTTTTTTTTCATTATTTTGTATTAATTTGAGTCAAAATAAATGAAATATATTATATATAGCATTTTAATAATTTATGGTTATGAAATACGGCATGAAACACCGGTGCCTTTTTCTGCGCTAAAGGTAAAATCTTCCAAACACGGCTCACTTCCAGACGAAAAACAATTTTCAAATTTCAGAATTCAAAAATTTTTTCATTTGCATTTTTTAAGAACTAAAATTTTTAAGATCTTAACCATTGAAATTTCTTTAATTTATGAAATCAATTATTGATAAAATTTTGAATATGACTGGAAAAAAAATTTCAAACTGTTTTTTTTGGATTTTATATTTTAGTACAAACATAATTCCGATCATCTAATAGATTTTTTTCAGCTAGACTAGTTTTTTTTAATAATTAAAAATCTGGCGGAGGGTTGAACTTCATCAATTGGGTATCTAAAAATACCCCATCTTCATGCTACTGGTCTTGCCCTAACTGTTGTTGTGCTTTTGTGGATTACTGTGCCTTAATTGTCGGGCTTCGGTGCATTCGTAGATGATATATATGATAGTTTCAGCGCGATAAAGCATCGGCACACTTTAACTGCAATGCCAGGAATCACTTGAATGCGACTTATCAATACCTGTGGATTGGTCAAGTTGGGTCTGTTCTTTGGCTGCTACGGTGCTCCCTGTGAGTCCAGCTGTGATGTATGTCTTTCCAAATACTTTAAATTTTAATTTTAATTTTGGTCAGACATTTTGTGATCAACCTGTCAAATGCAAGTTTTAATTTTTCTTATGTTGAGATATAATAAATCTCTGTCACTAACATTCTTAATTCGTTTTATCGACTTTTATTTGTATTAGAATTTCTAATCGTTGGTTATTTCTCACTTGTAAAAGACATTTAAACCCTAGATTTACAATAAAGTTAACTTAAATATTTTAGAACTGAACAAAAAGTTTAAAATTTAGTTAAAAATTATTTTAAAAATTAATTAAAAATTATTTTAAAAATTAATTAAAAATTATTTTAAAAATTAATTTAAAATTATTTTAAAAATTAATTAANTTAGAACTGAACAAAATATTTAAAAATTAATTAAAAATTATTTTAAAAATTAATTAAAAATTATTTTAAAAATTAATTAAAAATTATTTTAAAAATTAATCAAAAATTATTTTAAAAATTAATTAAAAATTAATTTATAAAAATTAATTTAAACTTTAAATTTTGACAATAAGTGGTCACACAGCCTTTTATAGAAAAATTACAAAGTGGTAGGCTATTTAATTTAACACGTTTCCCCAAATGATAACTATTGCTGTCTAAATTTTGAGCAATAAGTAGGCAAATGGCGTCTATAGACTCTAACTGAAACCTCTTTTAGCGAATCAACACTTCTTTTCAAAGGCTAATTCCTGTTCCTCAATGTCAGATTCAATGGAAAAATTTTATCTTAATTAATTAGCTCAAGACTCCTCGGAAATTATCGAATTTATAATATATAACGAAAGCATTTTCATGACCGGTAGACACCCAGGTGGTAGAAATTTTGTTTAATGAAAAAAGGAACATCATTAATACGAAGTGTACTAAAATATCATTTGGGCGAAGTAAACTACTTAAATCATTCAAAAATACATCAAAAAATAGATGTAACATTCTAGATAACATATCAAATGATTTAGAAAGAAAAAAAACGTCGTGATGAGCAAATGACGGTTATAGCGGCAGAGAGTTTTATTGGAAATGAAGTAATTTTCACTTCCAAACATACGATTGACTTTCAATTTTATATGACAGACGTAAGCAATTGAAGAAATAATGTCATAATGTGCACGTCAACTTTAAAATGTGTTTAACTAACAAACAAAATTTAAATATTTTAATTTAATTTGAAGATAGCAAAATTTTTAATTTTTAGATTTCACTTTATTTTGAAAATAACACCGTTTGCAGTTTTAATACTAAATAGCATTATTTAAATTACTAAAATACCGTGGTACTAAAATCCTTTGCCCTCCAATGTCGCCTCTGAGGTGACGTCAGCAGTCACCACTCTAAAATTAAAATTTTTAAATTATTTAGTTCTTATACTAGTTCAAACAACAAAGTACTTTGAGTGAAAAGGGTTGAAATATTTCGTTTCATCGAAAAGTAAGCAAAAAATATCTTAAGCATCCCACTAATCTTTTATTTTCAATAAGACGCAGCAGCGACTGTAAATATTTTTATTATTCTGCATTTTAAAGATACATGGGTTGGACAAAAATATGGAAACACTATGTAAATAATCTTTCTTCCAGCAGCAAATGTTTTTGAAGATTTTACATGGCAAAACACAATTTAAAAGATTATATGCTTGAAGCTTTTAGAGATTGTGTCATTTGGTAAATTCGGATCGATCAAAATAACTTTCTCCTCGTTTTAATACCGGTAATTTCGAAATCATTCTATAAAATTGCAGTTTTTAAAGTGAAATGATTTTTTTTAAATTATAGTGGCATTAAATGTGGAAACAAACTTTTAACTTCCTATTTTAGCAGAGTCAAATTTTGCGCGAGTAAAAAGGACCCCATTTCTGAAAGCTTCAAACGTGATCTTTCGAATTGTGTCAACAATTTTGCCATGCAAACTCTTCCAACTCTTTCAGAAATTTAACTCAAAAAATTTATTTTCTTAATGATGCTAGTCCTTAGTGAATGCCAAAAGCAGTTCTGGAATGAAATTTCAGTATGAGAGGCATAGATCTGCGTCTAAGATATGGTCAACGTGGACACATTGGTCAGAATGTAGTCGCACCTGTGGTGGAGGAGTTAGAATGCGATCAAGACATTGTCGCATAAGGTAATACTTATAAAATTTCATTTCACAATGGTAATACAAATCCTACTAAGTACTGTTACGTGTTTTTTAATTATCTTTCTTTGTAAATCATGTAAATTTTAAAAAATACTGATTAATTATTAATTAGATTCTATCCGGTGGATCCTACACTAACAATAATAAGATGAGAAATCAAAGATTTTTTAAAATATAAAACGGAATTTTTTTTCCGTGCAAAACCAAATTCTGTCCTAGTCCACGTTCACATATAACCACCACATCAACAACCATCCTTCTGAACTATTGGATTTGAGATGGTGCGTAATAAATTAATAAGAGTGATGGTTACGGTTTAGGCATTTGTGGGCACTGTAAATCCCAAGAATTAAATTCAGACTTAAATATTAAATTGAGCCAAAAGGGGATCGACAAAATTAATTGAAAAGTAATTGCAAAAAATTTTAACTTTGAAGCTTTTCACATCCAACATACAGTTGGGTTTGTTGTTAGAGATTCTTTTAAGTTTGATGATTTGAGAGAGAAATAATAATACCTCTGAGAACCTTCACACTAATGCAACTGAAATAGTTATGTAGACTAAATATCTCAAATTTGAAGTCTTTGCGTTTATCGTATACAGGGGTTATAGGTTCGTGGCCCAATACTATGCAAATCTAAAAAGTTTACCGCAATATCATCATCATTAGTTTTAATAAGAGTTGTTGTAGTTCATTTACGTCGCACTAGAGTTGCACAATGGGCTACTGGGGACTGTCTGGGAAACAATCCTGAGGATGATCCTAAGAGATACCATCACAATTTTGATCCTCTACAGAGGGGATGGCACCCCCGCTTCGGTAGCCCGATGACCTGCACGCGAAGTTTAATAAGATTTAAACGATTTGGATAAATTGAATGATGTAAACTTTGAAACTCAAGAAAGTTAATGCAGAAAATATCATCAATATAACTGCAAAATATAAAATTGTGATTTATCCTGTAATACAGTTGTTTTTCATAGTAAATTGAAAATAGGTTAGCCATAGTTGAACTAATATTGGCTCCCACGGAAATACCATTAATCTCTAGAAGTAAAAAAAAGTCATTATTAATGTAGTTGTTGTATAGACAAAATTTTAAAAAGAGCTAGAAGTTTATCAATACAAAATTTAATTTGTGCATAAGCAAATTGAACTAAATTAGAAATTGTTGATAATAAAAGTTCGAGAGACAAGGAGGTAAAAAGATTAACAAAATCAAAGATGCTTTTAGAAGCGCTGCTATTACAAGATTTTAGTTTTTCAATCACCTCGCCACTGTTTTGTATTTTTCAAAACCATCATGGATAGTTCCCTGATTTAAGAACACTAACTAATTCTTTTAGTTGAAATTCCAGTAGGATTGCAAGCTCTGCGAATAAAACGAAAGGTAACTGGATTTTTGTGAAATCTGCCTTGGTGTTTTAAGTTGCATGTATTTATACATTGTCACAAACTTTTTTTAAAAAATTGAGTTGATATTATCTTTAATACATCTATAAGTGCAAGTGCTACTAATTTTATTAATTATAATATTGGCATAAAATGAATTGAAACAGATAGAGTAATTTTTAGCTGCTTTATCCACAGTGATAAATACAAAATAGTGTCTTTACCTTTAGAAAAAAATAATATCTTTTTTAGTGAGAGGTGTGAAAGTTAAATAATTTAAAAGGGTATTAAGTGATAATTAAAGCAGTGGTAATAATAGTTTAATTTTATATTCTACTGGCACAGAGAAAATTTAAAACTCAGTTTCAAAAGGCGCAAAGCAATATCTTTTTGTAAAAAATCTAAAGCATATTTAAAATTAACATATATGTTGACTCTAAATTTTGCACCATGCAAAAGTTTCTCAAATTGGTTTCTTTAATAAAGTTCATATAATCAGTAATTATATGATTTTAAAGCTGATCAAAGTAGATCGAATCTTTATACTCACTGCATTTGCAATCCATGTCAGTATAACTATTGCAGTCAGTTGCAACCTCTTTGTAATTAACCACATACTTGGAAAAAGGAGGTTTATATTTGAAAACAAATTTAACATTTAAATATTTAACCTTTGCACTATAAGTTATTTCAACAGTCAAAAAAATGGACGAAACCACTAACATTTTGAAAGAGTTTTTACAAACTTACCTAATAATACCCGGAGATATCTTAATGAAGTGGTAACTAAACATTAAGATGAAAAAAATTTCACAATTAGAATGGTGGGTAATTTACAGGCGACAGTGGTGACTGACAGTTACCTCTCGAGTGCAAAGGGTTAATAGGAAATAAATCGTTAAAAGGTATGTATTATTGTTGTTCATTGCTGATGAGTTATAACTATATTTTTATTATTTATATCTTGTTGTTATTATACTAATATATATATATATATATTACCGACAAAGTATGAAATAAACGTACCGATGAGGTTATTATGTGAATGATGTGCATGTTACGGTGTATGAGCGAAACCGGTGGTTGTTGACTTTCACCGATGAATGTTGACAGTCACATAGTCGCTTTAGTGAATGTCCGAAATATTTATTACATCCGATTTGATATTTAATTTATTATAGGATACAATTGCTTTTATTCGATATTTTAATGCTTGCTGACGATAGATTAGAAGAAACATCAGTGTTTGGAGTATCGGGCAAATGTATATCGGGCAATGGCACTTGACCTTAAAAAAAATCAGTGTAGGGTATACCGGGCAATGGCACTTGACCTTAAAAAAAACATCAGTGTAGGATATACCGGGCAAATGTATACCGGGCAGTGGCACTTAACCTTAAAAAAACATCATTGTAAGGTATACCGTTCAAATGTATACCGGGCAATGGCACTTGACCTTAAAAAAAACATCAGTGTAAGGTATACCGGGCAATGCCACTTGGCCCTAAATAAAAAAAAAAGTGTAAGGTATACCGGGCAATGGCGCTTAACTAGACCTAGTATACATTTCGGACATTTACCGAAGTCATACTAGTTTTAGTTATGTGCCATTGCCCGGTATACCCTATACTGATGTTTTTTTAGGGTCAAGTGCCACTGCCCGGTATTGATTTGCCCGGTATACCCTACACTGATGCTTCTTCTAATCTATCGTCAGTAAGTATTAAAATATCGAATAAATGTAAAAGTACCGATTTCGGGCATTCACAGTAATATGCATTTCTCAAAAATAAAAATGTTATTCTGAAAAAATACTGAGAGTGCCATTGAAAAACCTTTATTCAAAATGTGGGAAGAAAATTAAATAGTTATGTAAAACAAAATTTAAGTCTTTCTTATTAAGGGAAACAAAATTTTCATATAAAAAATATGAAATTAACCTACTTGTTGCAACATGGCAGGCTTGAATGACATTTTGATTTACATTTCATTAAATTTTTCCATGCAAATTTCATTAAATTCCTCCATTTCCATGTAGCACAGTAAAAAAATAATTTTTGTTATTACTCAAAAATCACGAGCCACACGTTAAAAGTCACGAACCTTGCCAAGTGATATTTGAAACGAATCGGAGATATATTTTATACTTTGCCGGTAATATATATATATATATATATGTANTTATCGAAAGAATGAGTAAGACCATGAATGAAAAGAAAATAGAGGTTAATCAAATTTAAAAAGATAAAGAATTCATCAAAAGTTCATAGAAAATGTAAATCAATAATCTCTTAATTTTTCGTGAAGCTATATAAGAAGTCAAAAGCAGAAAAATTTAAATAATGAGAGTGATCATGTCTTTACTAAAGTCCATGCAGAAATTCATCAAGATGTTACAGAGTTGCTTAATCAATATTTATAAAAAATTCCGTAATTATGTATATTTATAGTACATACTGAATTTTTTTACATGAAAACGAAAATTTTACATGACCTGGGGGCGTTAAGCAATAAAATTTTCAATCCCTGTTGTTTTTACAACTTACTTTTCTAGCTGTTTTTAATGCGAGATCATGCATTAAATCCATATACATTCCCTGAAATCCCAAAAAACCATGCACTAAGAGAATTGGTGCTCGGTCATCTTTTTGACCATTTAATGTAATTCTTAAACATGTATGTGCCAAGTGGAGTGGCTCAGTTGTGTTCGTTCTAAAGAAAAAATTAAGAAACATAATAAGTTTCAATAACATTGTCCCGAATGTATATATATATATATATATATATATATATATGCGGCAGTAAAAAACTGGGAATAACAACGCATACGGACAAAAATTTATTCAAATGAGGCAATCAAAAATATCGGCACTATTAAAAATCCCATCATCTGAGACTCAGCACAGAGGATGGTACTTGTTATGATGTTATAATACTACAACATTTGTCTGTCTCTATTAACTACATTATTTGTGTCCCCCTGTGTTATTGTGATTTAACTGTCCAAAAAATTAAATAAAGTTTATTATTTATTTAGTTATTATAATAAAGTTTATTGATTTTTTTTTTTTAAATAGATTATTTTCCAAATAAGCATGTTTCCGTCTTATTTTCAGAGTGAATGGATACTCAGTATCAAATGACTCATGCCTGGGAGAAAGTGTCGAACACGAACTTTGTTCTACTAGCGTAAGTGGAAAATTGATTTTCAAAAAAAATTAAATAATTTAAAGCGCAAAATTACTTAAAGAAATTTTTAAAAAAAAATTAATGCGCATTAAACAAATAGTTTTATATTAGCGGCTGTAATCAAATTAATTTTTTATTTTTTCATTATGAAATAAAGTCAGTGTTGTATGATCATTAATAATTTTAGTCAATATGGCTTTTTAAATACATTATTACACTTCTTTTTATTTACACTGAAATAGTTCTTTAACAACTAAATTCGAAATTAAGCTCGTTTTTATCTTTGACATACGGCAAGAAATTAATATTTGCTTTATGACCTTATTATAGGCTTTTTGTGGAAGATTTTACCAATTGTACTAGATTAACACCCGAAATATATATTTTATCCTAGAAAATATATACTTTAGCATCCAAAATATATATATTTAACATTTAATGTTTAGTCTAATAAACTTTATTTAAAATGATTATCGCCACCATCACATATAAATAATCTAAATAGATGTATGAAATACCTGATAACCATATCATTTTTTAAGAACAGCCAAAATGTAAACAATTCTTGCTATTTTTGTTCCACTATAACTGCATAAAATCTTCCACGTAAACCGCAAAAACTGCTCTATTATACATATGAATAAAAATCCGCAAGAAATTTCATGAATCCAATAAAAATAAAATTATTTTTACTGAAATCAGCCAAGTGACAAAGATGGAATATTTTTGACTTGTGTGCAAGTCTCGACTTGTTTCTGCGTCTTATATGATGATTGATGGCCAACAAATAACCCAGCTTTAAACAGAGTTGACAAAATATGCTGAAGCTAGTTTCCTTTCTCATGCCATAGTCTAGAATTCAACTCAATTCCGTAGAATTAGTTATTTATCTCTAGAAATTAATGTGAGATACATGATTATATACAGATAGATGATAAAATACTGCGAGCACTTCTATACTAATTCTATTTAAACTATCTCTCTGTTAGCAGCAAATCTTTTGGAACTTTTTGCATGGCAAAACTGTTGGCAAAATTTGAAAGATCATGCTTGAAGCATTTAGAAACTTAGAAATGCCAACTTGCTCCGGACTGGACTGCAGATAAATATTTTTTAACTGTAATGTTTTAATGCATGATTTTTGGTTAGTAAATTCTATTTCCATGGTTTTCTCACCACTATTTCTAAATAATTCAAAGGCTTATCTGAAACGCCACATAATAAGAGCATACTGTGTTGAGCCTTTTAAGAATTAGCAAAATTACCCGAAAATCAGCGAGTTTTAGTGTATAGTTCTTTACCGTTCTTTAGAAGAATCCGGAGGCGTGCAACTACTTTAAAAACTTTGATTTTGAGCTCATGAAAGATAATATAAAATATAGCCCGGCAACAGCCTTTTTCCTATCCGATGGGGTACTGTCCCGAAAATTTTGTAAATAGTTGTAAACACTTATATATAATTTTTCACTCGATATTCACCAATATATTTTTGCGCATTTATTATCATTGTTTTTCCTATTTCTCTGAGGCTATGTGACTACTATGCACCTGCAAAGCTCGGGGGTAATACCTCGGGGGGAGGCGAGGCAGTCTGCCGGAAAACCTCTTCTCTCTCTTAAATTTGTTTGTTTAATCTCGCTATTTTATTTTAATTTTCTCTCAGTAAATGTTACTGAACCCCAACTTTCACCATTCAATTGCGCTTCGGCGATTTATTATACATTCCCACTCAGATGAATTAGATAGAGCCCCTGGCGGGGCTGATGCTAAGATATAGCTACCACATATGAGTATGAGTAAGGGAATATTAATGAGAAGAAAAAATGCAATGCTTCTTTATAAGAATATTAGCAGCATTTTATAAAGTTTTCTTAAAGACCGTACAAACCCTGTAATGCAAATAATTGTAAATTGCTTTTTTAGACCTGCTCACCAATTGACAAAGACTTTTTGGAGTATCAATGCTCGTTACAAAATGGCCTTGTTATTGCGGGAAAAAGAGTTAGCGATTGGCTCCCTTACAAATATGGTAAGTTATTAAACAATGTATAGGGTTTTCAAGGTTTAGGACACTATGGTAAAACCTATGATAAAAACCGCGTTTTTTACCATCCCCTCCTGAACTCTCAGAATCTATCCAGAACACTTTTTTCAAATTTTTAAAACCACTCTTTACGTAGATAAATCTTGAAAAAATGCAATTTAAATCATGCAAAAAATTTGCGACATTTTCAATATGTAACAAAATTAACAACTTAATAAAACTTTTTTCTGAATGTGGATCCGTATCTTTTCAAATATATTTAATTCTGACCTTATGATCCATGAGTTGAAATTATGTTCATTATACATATCTACATATTGTAACATGCTTTCCTGGCATTTTTTGAAGTTTTCTACGTTTTTCCATACAAATACGTCAATATTTTCGTTACGTACGTAACGATACGAAATACGTTGTCGCCTTCTAACAATTAATATTGAAAAAAAAATATTATAGAAAAATGCTGACCTTATGATGAATGAATTGAAATCATGTTTATTATACATATCCACATATTTTATTATGTCAAGGATTACGTTACGTACTTAACGATACGTGAACGATACGAAATACGTCTAAGATTTCAAACATTTAATATTGATGAAAAAAGTATTACTGAAAAATTCTCACCTGAGAATAAATGAGTTGAAATCATGTTCATTATGCATATCCACATGTTTTCCTCACATTTATTGAAGTTTCCTACATTTTTCTATACAAATACGTCAAGGATTACGTTACGTACGTAACGATTCGTGAACGATACGAAATACGTCTAAGATTTTTATTAGATGATTTCTTCTATTATATTTCTTCTATTATATAGATGATTTCTAATAGAAGATTTCTTCTCGTTTAGTATTGATGAAAAAAACATTATTGAAAAATTCTGACTTTTAATATGAATGAGTTGAAATCATGTTCATTATGCATATCCTGCATATTGTTATATGCATATTATGCATATTGTATTATGCATATTGTAACAAGTTATCCTGACATTTATTGAAATGACCTATATTTTAGGAGTAAATTCTTGTCAACTTCAGTGCTGGTCGAAAGTAAATTTCATCATTCACAGTTTTGGCAAAGTCATGGACGGGACAAAATGTTCATACATGAATACAGAAGAAGAAGAAGCAATATGTATCAACGGTAGGTGCTCGGTATGTAATCCATTTTTAGGAAAGCATCAACTACTTACATCAACTTCATGTGTTTTATATAATCAACTATAGCGGTTCATTTTTCATAAAAAAATAAAAAGTGGTATCTTGAATGTTACATATTTAGAAGGAGTAAAATATTCATAACTACGACGACTTAGCAGTTACATACAACATATACAATCAAACTCGCTTATAACGAGGATAAAAGGACCCTTAAATTTGCTGGTTACAATAGGGATCTCGTAAGAAACGGGTCCTTGAATATAATCATAAAAACCCTTAAAACTTATTAAATTTGAAATATAGTACTTACTAATTTTTTTTTATGTCTATGTAATGCAAAAGAAGTTAATATGTTTTGAAACTGCTTTATTGTTTCCTTGCTGTGTTATTATTCTTCGGATAAGACCCGGAACATCGTCATCATTAAAAAGGAATTCGTCGAACGAAAAAACATCGAAAAGGAGCTTTTGAGGAAAGAATTAGCTTCCTTAGAGATGTGTAATTAAGTTGAAATTTTATAAATCGTAAAAATATCACTTGCTAAAATTGGAGTTTGCTCTTTAAAAACAAGCAATCCTCTAATGGACATAGCATTGTACCAACCAAGTATTTCTAATTTCTTCGTTAAATCCGGGTTCTCGTTAAACCAGGGTTTTGTTATAAGCGAGTGAGATTGTATATTTACATGTAAAATCTCCAAAATCTGTTTTTCAGAAAATAAAGTGAAAACTAAAAATATGAAGCTTTTTTTGTTTTTAATTACACTAGGGAAAAAAAAATTTTTTGTATTTATACAAATACTTGATCTTGCCTGATTAGGGTTGTGTTGATTTCAAATCTGCAATCGATTTCTCTCTCCTTTCTTTAAACTGTCATTTTTACTCTTATTTTTGTCAAGATGTAAAAGTTTAGAAAGGTTATATATAACAGGGGGATGTGTAAATATTGAATCAAACTTCTAGGGGAGTTAGGGCACATCATCATGATTAAAAATGCAGAGGAACCAATGCGCAAAAATGTTTTACGCCGCTAGGGGTGCTTCCCTATTGTGAACTACTTCTTCGTGTGCTTCTAAACAGGTCATTATAGGAAAGCGCCCCTAGCAGCGTAAGACATTTCTGCACATGGGGTTCTATGCAATTTTAATGTGGAAGACGCTCCCTAACTCTCCAAGAAGTTTGACAGATTTGAAATCAGCGATTCGAAAGTACTTCATCTGTTTAAAAAAATCTTATGCAACAAAAAACAAAACCAAAAAATAAAAAAATGTTCTCCAGTGTTATCCACCCATGACCACCAATTTTTTTTAGTACAGTACCTTACACCCTTATATGTTGCAACTGTTAATAAATCACCTATCCCCATATTGAGGGATAACTTAACCTCAAGATTTTTGTAATATGCATTGAAGGCCAGTCCTGTGAGCTTGTCTGATAAATAGAACAATCAGATTATAATACAGGGTGTCTACCTGAGACGAAAATTTGCGCTGCCTTTATTCCGAATTCGACGATTTTTGATGCAGCTAAATTGAAAGATATAATACTTCAAGTAGGTAATCTTTTTTCTTAAAAAAAATATCAAATAGATATTCATTTTTGAAAAGTAGCAATGAAAAGAACTACTAAAAGATTTTTGCTTGAGTTTCTCGTCAATGGTAGACACCTTGCAATACTATTTTTACCATTAGATCACATTTTTTTCTGAATATTTGACACCTCTGCAAAACAATTAAAATTCGATTTTAAAATAGACTAAAAAATTTTATTGAGAGACTTGGTGCAAGAATTAGGTGGTAAGTTCGAAAAAAACTTTGTGATTTACTACGAAACAAGAGCAACAACCAGAACAAGAGCCAGACACATGTGTGACATCAGCTTTCTATATGATAAATAGTGGGAAAAAACTGCATTTCAACCTAGCATCTTGATTCCATTTCGTTTTCCCCTACAATTTGTAAATCGGCACTACCCTGGTTCTAGCCTCGAGGCCCTCAATTATTCTAACATTTTCTAGAATATTCTATACATAATGCATTGTTGACCGGTAAGATATGCTAAATTTTAAGAATTTACATTTTTTTCTCAATTGCTCTAAGGATAGACGAATTCAGCTACCGGCTCGCACAAACAGTAACGTTAAATATTCTCAGAGTAGACGGATTTTCGGTCAAAATGCCCTTGCCGTCGCGGTCTAACAGTGAGAGATTTTCCTCTTTATGTAACGAAAATGTGGATCAGTTCTATCATAAAGTCTTCCACAAAAGCCAATTTGTCTAATGCCTGTGGCAAAAATAGCCTTGTCTTTTGGGTTAGGTTCTAAGATTATAAGACTACTGAGTTGAATATTAATAGCTGTAAACTCAGAAATGTGTCTGCTGTTCAACGTCGGTTATAAAATAAAACAATTATAAGATATATTTTGACTTGTAAATATGCCTATATATACATTATAAAATTTAGTTGATTATAATAGCATCGTATACATTGAATAGCACTTGACTTAGATTGGAATATTTTAATATAGAGAAGAAACCGCAAGTTTCACATCCAACAGGCAACTTCTTCCGTTTTGTAAAGAAACTTTTTTGAATGGAAGGTAAAATTTATGTCTTAATATTTGATTATTGGCGTTAGTAAATTTTTTAAGTACTTTTGATTACCATGTAAATACAAATATATATGTAAAATGCTCCTTTGATCCAGTTATCTCGTGACGAGGCTTTTCCAAGTATTTACAAAAGTAACCAAAATTCAGCAAAATTTAGATTATAGGTCTCTTTTACTCAATAAAATCTTTTGAAATGAACGAATCATTTTGTTTCCCTGAAAATATAAGAATTTTTATTACATTTCATGTGGGTAACGGATTTTAAAAACCATTATTAAAGTCAAGTTTGTTTGTTTTTTTCAGCTTGTCGACTGTTCTGGAAAAATTGGTTCATTTAAGCAGAAGGATAAGTGTGGAATATGTGATGGAAATAATTCAACTTGTGTCAAATTTCAGAATACATTTTGGAAACGACCTAGAAACAGAGAATACTATTCTAATAAAGGTACATTTAAAATAATAATATCAGGTTTGCCGGAAAATTCTGTAAAAAAGTGGTAGGGCATTTACCCTTATATACATATATCAGATGATCCTGGGTTTCAAAAGCGGTAAGGCATTTGCCCTTAAATGTATATATCCGATGATCCTGTTTCAAAAACTCAGAAGCCTGACCAACTATCCTTTCTGGAGAAATTATGACATAAATAGACCTAGAAATCTGAAAACCCAAGACGGCTTCATCCAGAGTTGATAGTTCTCTTTAACTTCATCACAAGGCTTCTATACTACCTCTGCCAATGTGTCGCTGGAATATGGCCCCCTCGATCTAAATATAAAAATAGTGAAAAAGGACATATTTCTGAACAAATGAAAGCTATTACCATGGAAACTATACACGATCGATTTCCAAGAAGAGATAGGTTACATTTGTTTCCAGATAGCTCCATGCTAAATACGTAAGACGGTGGTGGAGCTAGATATCTTGCAAGATTTTTAACTTTTATCTCTGAGATCATTTACTACTGCCTTTGATGGCTATTACTACAGCAGAGTTCAACAGTTATAGCTACGAAGATCTGGCTTTGACAGGACGGTAATTTTTTTTCTGATTCCAAGTCAGCATTACAGACTTTATCGCAAAATAGAATCATGTGGAGATTTCTTTTTGTTACCCACCACTTTAACTTTAATAAAGCACTGTTTATTTGTTGTTAACATACACAGAGACTCCAATTATTTGAGGCTATTACAATTTTTTTAAATGGTAGTAAAGTGAAGCAAATGTTTTTGAAACAAACAGAAAAAATTTATTAAAACAGTAGCATTTGCCTATCTGACTTTTTATAGAAAAATGATTTTCCTTAAAAAAAAATAATAAATAAATGCACGACGAGTTTCACTCGTTAAATTGGGTTAAACTGAACAAGGGCTTACATTTATAATTAGTATATAAGCCTGCATATATATGTGCAACAATAAATTTCACATCTATACTCATGCAGGCTTCTGTGATCATTACAAAGACGGCTTACAGCCCTCGTCAAGACATGAAGAATAGATGGCACAAATTAGATAAAGATACTAAATATATTCACCCATGGTTAGGGTGGAATTCGAACTTCTACTAGGACGGAATTCGAACAGCTACTTCAACTATAATTCCTCACATATACTTGGGATTAATCCAAATAGTTTGTTACTTTTATCAACAACATAATTTTATTGCCAATAGAAAGAAAAGCGACTAAAACTGGATTATATAGTCACCTCGTGACCTAATATGTAAACTTCATAATTGCAATCATTCCATTACTTCAGTCACCGGGTAGTAACATCGTGTAATACACATATTTTATATTTTCAGATTATCATTATGAATATGATGAAATATTTCGTATACCAACTGGAGCAACAAATATTCTTGTGCAAGAAGCAAGCAAAACAAACTTCTTGGGTAAGGAGAAAATTCAATTCTTGCATTATTTAATTTTCTAATTAGAATACTTATGTTATCTATTTGTTGAAAGAAAAAGAAATGGTAAAAAAAGTCAAATAGAATAACCTAAAATTCAAACTCTTAAGATTTCATTTCTAAAAACTTTGTTTACCATTTTTCAAAATGTACTGTTTTGCTTTATAATATATTCCAAAACATTTACAGTTAAGAGAAAAGCTGTTTCTTTAAAGTTAGCTTTAAATATGTATCAATTTTGTCAGCAGCAGGAAAATCATGAAGTAACTTAATCACATATATTAGGTGGGTCGGAAAGTAATATCGTTTCGGTGCATTTGATATTTGTTATCAAGATTTTATTTTTAATCAATAATGTATTTACCCTCGTTAGCAACAACCTTTCAATGCCGTATCGAAAATTAATCGAAAAAAATGAATCGGTTTTTAAGACTAACGAATATTTAATAAGCCGAAACGACATTACTTTCCACAATTCACCTAATATTAATTTTAAATCTCCACTTTTGTCCTGATTCAACAGGTCAAATACCATCCCTGTTCTACGTAAAATGGCGTAGATTCAAGCATATGTAGATTAAATGGATTTTTTTCTTACTTTTTTAATTACCACTAAAGCTCCTGAAACGGCATTATTCCTTAAATTCAGAGAGAAGTATGCATATTAATAATATCAACATATTAACAGTTTCTTGCTTTTAAACAAATGCAAATACTAAAACACTTTACTACTACTAAAACACTTCAAAATGCAAATACTAAAACACTTCAACTTTGCTGAAATTTTAAAAGAAATAATGTTTCAAAACTACTCTAGCACAATTGATGGAGAATAAGTTAAGCGTGATATCGAGTTTTTTTTTGCTAGTTAATCCAAAATTTCTTATTTTATTTATGATTAAATAAAATTAATTGACAATGATTCTAACCATCATTGCATTGTAAACTTAAACAAATATATTACAACTGATGATTGAAGCAGGAAAAAATTTGTCAAACCTTATCCTTTATTTCGTTACCACTTTCAATATTGAGGGGAGATAACACTTTCTAGTCAGATTCTTTGCAGGGTGCTACAAAATAACGTCGACGAAATGAAAGAACACACAATGAGGATGAATAAAATATCACATTGGATCGCTAGAGCAATATGGAACTGCTAAATGAAAATGCATATGTGATATGATATGCACAAGAACAATAAACAAAAACCATGCTAATAACTTCAATGTTTCTATACATGTCACACACTTGTGTACCAATAGTACTACTACAAGAGATGTTCAAACTTTGGGCGAGATGTCTTGAGACTCGAATTAATAGACGCTACAAGGAAAGCTAACATACAAGATATGTCTTCTCTAACATGCAAGATATATCTCGAAAATATCCTGCTGCCGCAACAATTCAGCATCTGCTGTAGTAGTCATTAAAGTGTAACATGTGTTGAAATACAACAACAATAAAACACTGTTGTATGATTTTCTTTTTATTGTTGTATAATACGCATAATATTGAACTCCCTCTAGCGATTTCTGATAGCATTCATTGTTGTTTGCAAAGCAGTACAATAAAAAAAATGCGTACAAAAATTTATTAATATGCTTTATTTTAGAGAAAAAAACAAAATTTTAATATTGAAAATAAAAAAGAGGTTTCGATAATTCACCATTTACAGAATTATTTTCTCAAAAAAAAACTGTGTTGTTTTTCTCATTTTAAGAAATCATTCTTCGGTACATATCATTTCTGCTCCTCAAGATACTTTTGAATCAAAAAACTTTCTACCACACCACAACTAGTTAGTTGAACAAAAATTTATAAATTTGGTGTAATACTCAAGTATTTCATAACCCCTACCATCAATCTACGTTTTTAGAATCCTTGCCAAAAATGAAATAAAATAATAAGCATATAAGGGTTTACAAATTTATATAGAGGGGCAAAAACGTTATCAAAATCGAACGAATCACTAATGAGGAAGGATGAGTTTAAAACATAAAAATCAGGTTGATAACCATACCAATAATAACTTGAAGGAGCTTCTGATCACTTTCAGCTTTCTTTTAGCTATCTTCGTCGATCAAACAGGTTCGTATGCTTTTAATCTCGCCATCTTCAAAAGTAGTTCGTCAGAATTTGATTACGTTTTTGATCCATAAAGTGTACATTTTTTACTTCATTTAAGATACAAAAAAAATCATAAAAATACATATGAAAGCAGGTGATTACGAAATGCTTTATATGTTCTAAAAACGCGAATTATAAGTTTCCCTGTGATAGTGAATTGTTATTTTCTGTCAAGATTTTAAAACATTTTCTATATGCATTTTCTGCTTGTCCTCACACAGCTTTGGTAGACCAAAAAGGAAAGTACTTCATAAATGGCAACTGGAGAGTTGATTCACCAGGAAAATTTAACGTCCATGGATCAGAATTTATTTACAATCGAACTTGGGATGGAACAGAAATATTGACTTCAATGAACCCTACAAGATACATACTTATTGTTTTAGTAAGTTTGAATTCATACATATTTTCCGTTGCATTACATTGTTCAACAAGGTTTTCCAAAGCTCTGTAACCAAGGGAAAAAAAGCTACAGTTTAAGTGCCTTGCGAGTGAAGCAAAGCGACGATTTTAAACTATATATGTATATAATTATATTGAAAGAATTGTCTGGGTTTTAGAACAGACAAATGACTTAAATATTTTAAAATTTGGCGAAATTTTTCCCGCTAGATATTAAATATAAATTATCAAAATCACTACCTAATTCTCAGTTTTCGAAAATTTTTATGATTCCAGATAATTCAGCATTGGAGTAAGTTTTCTTATATTAATTAGATTATAAACGCTTTTCATTTTTACAAAACTGTCGCTTTTCTTGCTCACTTTTCTTGACGTTTTGAGCCATTTTCAGAATAAGCATCGACAGTGTTGGCTTTAGATTGGCTAAATATTATCTAACAGTCATAAATAACAGTTGTCAACTCAGAACAATCATTAAAATAACATATTAATCGCAAAAGCGCATCATTTCATATGATGACGAAGCCTTCGAAAAATAGATTTAAAGTAAAACATAATTAGAGCTTAATTTTTGTTTTTTTTAAAGATATTAAATCTTTTGTTTTAAGGTCATGGGAAATGGAGACGTTCCAACAGTGCAATATGAATACTGGATGTCAACATACAGCCACAAACAACGTACAAGTCAGCAACATACTTCATATCAAGCAGACCCCTTGGAACAACGTTCCTATCACACAAAATTTAATGAACCAAAAACGAACCCAACTCCCGTTACAAAAGAAATTACTCTATCACCAAAACTCCAAGGCTACAATTCCTTTTACCACCGAAATGAGATTTTAAAGTCAGTTCCTTCGTGGAGCATCAAAAGATTTTCTAATTACAAGAATCCTCTGAATATTTTATCTTACCAAAATCCAAATCATATTTATTCTGTTGATGGAGGAAGCACAACTGAGGCTGCTTACTGGAATCAAAACAAAGCGAAAGAGGTCACGAATAATATAGTTTATCAACAAATAAAATCCAAGAACCTTCCCATTTTGAATGATAAAATAGTTCCATTGGATAGTGCTGGAAGGCCAACTGGAACTTCAGCGCAGATGGGTAACCAAAACAAAGTGTTCGAATATAATGTGCAAGATGATTTTCTGAAGCAGAACATTAAAAATAAATCAAATATTGAAACAATTATTAACCGACGAAAAGAAAAATCATTAAATACAAGGGGTAAAAGTAAGTATGCTTATAATAAAATTTTTAACTATTATTTTGTTTTTAACTAGGAGTGTTCATCCCTTATTCGTTATCGCTCACTGTCTATCGGAATTGCTTACACAGTTCATTTCAAATCGCTTTGAACATTTTTTTCGCCATAACTTTTGTTCCATAATACAACTTTTAAACTTTAACCATTCCAGAACCGGGATCACGTATATGTAATCGCACCTATCACCCTACGCGGCCCACGGTATCTTATATAAAACGAGCCTTTCTGACACTAGCAGCCCAAGATCATACAGACGTGATGACAATATGCTTCTCTCGTATTACATCACGGATTAGCAACAAAAAAAAAAAAGATTTTTTTTTTCCCCTTCGTTATTTATTTGAGATTACATAAATTAATTTCATTAAAATGAAAAAACTTAATAATTTTATCCCTCCAAACCTAAAAAAAATATATTAAAAAAATAATCACAAGTTTTTTTCAGACATAAGAATACGTTGATGCAAAAAAAAACTATAATGAGATACCTCCAAGTGACGCAGTGTTGGTATCCCGATCCTGATTGGTTGTTAAAACGCAACATTTGTTTACGTTAGCAACTGTTCTTCTATTTCAAGCCAAGCCCATCAAGTATCAATTCTCTTGAGTGACCCATTCTATAGTCTTTGACAAAGATTCTTTAAACAATGATTGCAATTCTTTCACTACATATTTCTTACTTAACACAAAGACAGGCATGAAGCCATATAGAACATAAACAAACTGAATATGCGTCGAAGTTGCCAGGTACACTAAACAAAAATATATCACTGTGACAATAAAATACATAAACAATTAATAAATCTAAGTAAAAGACGTAGACGTGAAATTGTATTTTAATAAATTTGATGTGCGATACAGCGCTGTATTTAATTAAATTCACATTAATTAACATTCTAGCTTAAATTTAGCTCAACTTTAATTAGCCACATTTGCTTATAAACGATCAGCTGGCGCTGACTCATAGGTCACATGAGTGGGTATCCGTGATCTTCTTGAAGTGCAAATATCCAATTCTACTTAGATCGGTTTTCCTTTTACATCAAATCCGAATAGGGAAGAAAAAACTGAATTTTGACATAAAATAACTCAAAAATCAACAAAAACATTTCTATATTAAAATATTCATTCCTTAAACATTTTTCCAAAAATTGGCAAAAAAAAATTTTTTTTTAAATCTTTTAGATTTTGAGCTAGGAAAAAAAAAGTTGGCGAAAAATCTTCTAAAACCATGGTGATGATAACAGGAATTATTTTTTTTTTAGCACAGAGTAAAATTACACACTAAAATTGATTAACCATATAAGTCTTTACGGACAATGATGGAGAGGAGCATTCCATTTCGGCCCATTTCCAAGTCATTTGAAGTGGTCCACGTCCATATTCGCTGCGCGAAACGGCCAAGAATATTACTGGTCCACCAATCTTTAACCCTAGCCCTCGCATTACCAGAAATCGCAGTGGCTAATTACAGCGGCGACCAAGCAAATAGCTCCTAAATTGCTTTCTTTTTATTTATTTAGTTATTATTATTTTTTTATTTATTTATTTTAATTAACGTTTTTTTGCAGAAAATTCGAATTTTGTAATTAGAAAATATGTTGTCTTAATCGTGGTAATCGGAAAATAAATTCCTGATTTATTTAGAAGTTTTGAAAAGGAGCATTTTTTGAGCGTATATTTACCCCGCATTAGATGCCGAAAACTGATCAAACTGCTCTTGCGGATTTTTCGCATGTACTAATCATACTTTTTCTTTCTTCCCAAAACTATTAAATAACTCATTTTTTCACTACTTGTTTTAAAGCTGAGCTCACTTTTTTTTTATTTTAGAACCCTAATGAATCATGGAATGGAATAAAAATCCACATTTCAAAATTTTGAATGATATCTTGTCAATGCAGGTAATACGTAGGAACAGGAATAATATAAGGTGCTAAGAGAAAAAAAATTTCAGAATCAGATAAGTCATTGCTTTAAACCATAAGGAAAAATCTAATATCCCATGGAATTAATGATTTTTATTGATCTTTTCTAAGTTGCCGAAAAACAGGGAGAAATTTGATAAAACTTTCTCTGGATAATGGATTCGTTGTTACGAACCTTTCATCATTTCCTGCTAGGCCGGGAAAGTCAGGTTGGCAGGGAGCTGGAACGAATCCAGCTGACTGAAGACTCCCCGTGTAGTAAATGGTGACTGGTGCACGTTAAATTTGTCAGGTCACAAAGTCCTCTATGTTCCCATATCAAATTATACGTCTGGGGTTACTGAATTGGAGATTGGGCGTTCTCTGATTCAGGTCAAAAATACGATCTGTGAATGAATAAATGGATGAATGAATAAATCCACCCTATAAAGTGCGACATATGGGTGTGGCAGAAGTCGAATTCTTGACCATAGACGGCGCCACTGGAAAGCAAGAACAATAGCACCCCTTGCTTTAATGGCCTGCGGCAACAACACAAACATCATTTCTTGTAAAGTTTCGAAAAAAAATGTTTCGAAATTTCTTTAAGTTTCGAAAATTATCAAATAACAAGCATAGACTTAATCGTTTTCTCTTTACTTTTCAGAAAAAAAGAATCACAATAAGAGGAAAAGAAAATCAAATAACGGTAATAGTTTTAAGAAAAATAATATAAATTTCATAACAGTAAATTTGATTAAGTTTTAACGTAACATCTATTTTTCTTCCATTTTTCAGATAACTGTCAACCTTGTCCAAAATCAAAACGCCAAACAAAACACTTCTGTCTCAGTGACTTTGGTAAATATTTTAATTGCTTTTTATTAAAAATATCTTGGGTATTAATTTTTCAAAAGAAACAGTCTTTTTATTTGCTAAAATTAGAGGACTATAGCATATATAATATAAATGAGATCGGTGCTAGTACCAAAAATATAAAGAGCATGTGACAACTGCACAAAAAAAAGCGGGCACTTTCCCAGACTAAAATATAATTTGTATGGTTTTTGAGGTAGACGTTAACTGCGCTGATTAGCACATATGATATATTAGGTTGTAGGACAAGTGCAAAATTTTGCTGTTCAAAATTAAAGAATGATTTAGCATTACTTTTGCGTTTTTCGCTACATTTCTAGAACTATTTATACAAATCAAAAAATTTTGCAAAAAATGATGAATCTTATCGGTGAAGGATATCAGCAGCAAAATTTTATCTTTATTATTGTTTAATTTAACAATCTAAACATTTTCGAGTTGTAAGGTACATAATTATTTTAAATGACAAGCTCTTAAATTTGAACGAAATGGATCATAAAAAATATGTCAAAAAAAAGACTGTTTTTTTTTTTTAATTTTTCACTCCTCGAGTATTATTGTACAGATTTCTTGCAAATTTTGAATTATAAAATTTAAAAATGCGTTTATATTTAGAATAATTATTTTTATAATTAAGCATAAATATTTTGTATTAAGCACTTATATAATTTTATCGATACAACATTAATTATACAATATTCAGTACAAAATAATTATAAAATTAATTTAACAATACAAAATTTATTATAATAGGATGTAATTATTATACAAAAATTAAATTAAGGGGCTCTAACTTTCAATTTTTTCTTGACTAAACAATTGAGACCATATTTTCTAGGTTTACACTTTTCATAGTTTTTGAATAAAAATCTGAATCTGTCTAAAAAAATCGGTATGTTTATTCGAAAATTACGTTTTTGCAACTTCAAAAAGTATTAGAACTTTCTTAAATTAAGTGATCTTGGATGAAAAGCTTTAAGTATTAATACTGTCAAAAATAATTTAAGGTAGACTTACTGCTTTCTCTTACTAAAAAATATTTTCAAGAAAACAGGTTGGTAGGTACTTTATTTACGGTGCACAAGAGCGGCACAATGATCTTTATCAAGAAAATAAGAGAGTAAAAATAAGTTGTTGAATTATGTCTTGTTTTTGAAAATAGAATTAATTCATTTAAAATGTGGTATAAGTCCAAGGCTTTTTTAAGAATTATTGTTTGAATAAATTTAAAAATATTGGTAAAAGTTAATCAATTTGGTATTTTTAAGACTATAATTTGAGGAAACATCAAAATTCCACAATGGTCATTAAAATTGTAAAATATATCTATATATACAATCAGGGCTCGAAAAACCACCCGTCCTCGGCAGTTAAAAATTTCCCGCGGACAACGAATTTCTCGAATCAGACGTCCGCGCGGACGGCCATTTTCCCGTTAATGTTCGTGATACACTTTCAATTTTTGTTATCTTACAAGAGTCTAGCTCCTCACTTCGAAAATGACCCTCTATTCTAGAAATCCCGTACAGCAACATACTGCGCATGGTGGATTGATGTTTATTTCCGTCTGGGAGTACTGCAGCAGTTGAAAGGGACTTTTCAGCAATGAACTTACAAAAAAACACATTACGTAAGCGTTAAACGCAACTATGAACATCCACCTAAATGGAAAACCCCTTTCAGATTTCTGTGCAGAAACCTCTGTAAATCATAGGCTTGATTGTGGAACTGGCAAACGTCATATTTGATTCATTTAAAAAACGCAGTACCCTCGGATAAATTGACATTCCAGATAACTTGACCTTTGTCATTTAAATTATTTCATAAAAGAAAGAAATTATTTCATAAAAGAAATACTAGGTTTTACTATTAGTAATCTAGTATTTCTTTTATTACTGTATAATGTAATCCTAGTAGCTACTAATTCATTGTGTAATTTATATAAATGTTTGTAATAAATAAGAAAAAATAATTTTTTTTTTATTTAGAAGCGACGGGTTAGTTTCAAAGGAGGACGGGTACATTGTTGGACAAGCCGTCCTGGGGGACGGGTAAAATTTCTAAGTTTTTTCGAGCTCTGATATACATTAATAATCCAAGTTTTTAGCTTCAAATGGACTAATTTTACTTTCAAAAATAATTACTAACAATGGACTAATTTTACTTTTAATCTCAATAAACTTATTACTTCAAGATCTAATTTTTCTTATAGTATTGCAAGCTGTTGTGCTCTCCTTTGAAAAACAACAAGAAAATATTCGTTTTGAAATAGAAGTCACCCGTTCTTTCAAAAATAAAATACCCATAATGCCCAGGGAGTACATATGGTCTCCAAGTCATTGCCAGTGCCCTAAACTTGGACTTGGAAAAAAATTGATTATAATGGGCAATATGAAGACAGTTGGCAACCAGAGAGAAAGCAGATTAGTGGTGGATGACAATTCTTTTGTCAGGAAGTACACTCACAAAAGAGCAAGAACAATGCTAAGATTACTCAGAGACCAAACTTTTATATGTAAAAGGTATTAAATGAGTATTATTAATTTACATAAATTATTTGAGTTTCATCCTAATTCATTTAGTATTTAGTTGCATTATTAAATGAATCAAACAAAATGTCCCACAGTGGACTGATCGGAAGACACACTTTCCAGTGAATCACCAAAGTCAAGTAAATCACTGTTGTCAGTGGGCGGAAGATACGCATGACAAACATGAGCAGGCGAACGCTGTTTATGGAAAATTCTTCAAAACCCCATCACAAAAAATGTTATAATATTAAACTCGTTGCAATAAAAAAAAACGCTGACTTAAGATTTCAGATATACAAAGAAAGCCAAGAATAAGGTAACTTAATAACTAGTTTTACATCTTCCAAAAACTGCTTAAAGAAATATGTGCTGGTATGTTTTATAATCAATATAGAGTTTTATGAAAATTATAATACTCTTAAAAAAATCAGTGCATTTCGAACACATTTCGTTAAAACTGGTTGGCACGAAAGGATTGAAATTAATAACAATAGCTAATAAATTGTTTGTAGAAAGTGTTTTAATTAGATTTTGTGTTTGCTTGCGCGAAGTTTGCATTTTATTTAAATCTCATGAGGGAGTGAGTGATTACTTCGCGAAGGAGCTAAGGGTGTACGGTATCGGTCCCCTTTAAACTATGCTTCTATAAAATGGTCAACTTTGTGTAAAGGTCGTTGAGATACCAAAAAGGGGGATACAACCCCTCTGCAGAGGAGCAGTCTTGATGTCCCATCTTTAAACCATCCTCAAGGATGTTTGTCAGACTGCTTACAATAGCCCATTGTGCAGTTAAAATATAACGTAAATAAAGCAGTCCTACAGATGAAATGTGTAAAAAAAACGTGTTCATCCTTTACTATGACTTAAAATATTTTGAAGGATCCAAAAGTTCACAATCAATTAAAAATACAATTCAATGTGACAAGTTTCCATGAATGGAGAATATCAATTGCAGAAAGAATATCTAAAGTAATCAATGTAACTACAACAAAAAGGAATTTTCCAAAAAGGTGCGTTAGTGAATTTAGAAGCTAATAGCAGTCTATACTAATAAGTTATAAAAGATTCAATGCAAAATTTTTTCAACTTCAAGAATTTTGTTTGACAAAAATTTTTTATAATTCATTTTACAAAGTTTTAAACCTGTCATTCGAATTATTTAATCAAGATCATCTAAGTAATGATAAAATCATTGTATAGTGGGTATCTTATATTAAGCTGTAAAAGTTTAAATATTTTTATTTACAGATACAGGTATTGAACTACATTGATTCCATTTGTGTTTCAAAATATTTGAATAAATAAGTTTTTGATTGTAGTGTGTTATCGATAGATATAATGATTGAAAATACAAGCACTGCAATTTAGAAATCATAAGATTAGAGTATAGTACTTTTTACTTAATATTATCCAAATAATTATAAACTCCCAGTATAGTTAGCAGTAACAGTCTTAGATTATAGTTTCCAATATTTTACATACCATCTACAAACTCAGAAAATATTCATGTATCACTTAAACTTCAATTCTTTCAAAATGTAATGAATAAATAAATTTCTTTTATCTCTTAAATTATATAATGCTTATAAAAGTTCTTCAATATTTTTCTGCAATAAATATTAATGAAACATTTAATTCTGAAAAAAAAGTTAAACAATAAGAAGAAAAGGATTCAAAAGTAAACACCTAAATTTTAAGAAATTAATATAATAATAAAACAAGAGATAAATGGTTCATCTCAATTATAGTTTTAATATCTAAGTGTAAATGCGGAAAATTCATTAATATCAATTCAATATTGATTCATTGCTAAAAAGCTGGTTAAATAATTAATAAAAAAAGTTAAATAATTAAAATTCAAATAATGCATATATATTTTAGGGTTGGACAAAATAATGGAAACACTTCAATACTAACACATTTTTTGATATTTCTCAAAAATTCTTAAAAAATCAGTTTATAAATTTAGAATTGATCATGCAATTTCTCAAGCATTTCAATGAAGTTTAAAGCTTTTGAGGTTTATGGGATCGACAATAAATTACAAACGGGAAAAAAATTTAACACCCTAAGCCATAAGATGTAGTAATAAATTGGTAACTTATTACTAATTTCTTGAATATCATATGCAATAATTGCACAAAATTTTATACACCTAACTTCTCCATTTATGGAAATATGAACATTTTTATAAAAAATTTATTTTTTTTGTCTATGTTTTTTTGCTATAACTTTGAAAATATTCAATAAAATTAAGCAAAATTTTTCAACCAATTTAAAATTGATTACAAAATTATAGCTTTAAAATTTGAGAAAAATTCTTTAAAGACTGTACAAGATATGAGTAATTAGTAATTAAAGTAGTTCTTTTATACTGCGTATGGGCGGAAAAAATTTTTAAAAAAATTTCTTCTTAACTTTGTAGTGAATCGTATTTGGCAACTAATTAAAAAAGTCCAATTTGAATATCTTAAAAATTTAAAAAGCTTCAAGCCATTTTCTCAGTAGTTTTTTTACTCTTAAAAGAAACTACAAAATAATGGGGTTCTTACAAATTTCATTTTGATAATACCCCTCTAATAATGGTTCGGACAACAAAGTTTGATGGTGTTAGGAAATTAGGAAATAAAACATGCGCAAGAAAAAATACTTTTATAGGGGATAACCAACAATGCCAGTGTCATTTTTAATAAATCTTGTTTAATAGTATAAACTTTCTTTTAAAGCGTAAAAATCACTATTAGAAAATTGCTTTATGCATTTAAATTTTTTAGATATTCAAATCGAACTTTTTTTTAATTAGTTGCCCACTCTGATTCACTACAAATGAAGAACAAAAAATTTTTAATTTTTCCGAACATGGGTAGTATAAAAGAACTACTTAATTTATCTTGCGCGGTTTTGAACGAATTTTTTTCAAATTCTAAAACAGTAATTTTGTAATCAATTTCAAATTGATCCAAAAGTTTTGTTTCATTTTATTGAATATTTTCAAAGTTATAGCAAACGGAAGAAGAAAAAAAATTTCTATAACAATGTCCCTATCTCCTTAAAAATTTAAGCTAGAATTACGGAAATTTGAGCAATTATTGCATATAATAATCAAAACCATAGTTATAAGTTACAAATTTATTAGTACATTTTACGGTATATGGTGTTCAAAACATTTTATGGTGTCCAAAAACATTTTTTTCAGTTTGTAATTTAATGTTGGTTTCTCAAGCCTTAAAAAGCTTTAAACATCATTAATACTAGAAATCCCACAATCTAAACCCTTTGAAATTTATAAACTGATTCTTTAAGGATTTTCTGAAAAATATCAGAACATTTGTTAGCATCAAAGTGTTTCCATTTTTTTGTCCAACTCCTGTATGTACATATATATATATAAATGATGCTAAAATAATAAAGCAAGTAAAGATCACTACTACGTAGAATGTAAGGCAAGCTTTCCAAGCAAAATTAAATAACTTTATTTTTATTTTTAAAAAAATTAGATACAAAAATTTTTTTATCGTCTTGTTAGTCATAATCATTGTAATTAGTGATAGGTGTACCAAAAAGTTGAAAAGCACCAATTAAAAGTAATAAAAATTTTACTATTTTTATATAATTTATTTTAAAATAAGCTATATAATTTTTTATATGTCATAAAACTTTTTAACGTCCTCGAGTGTAGTATTTTATTATACGTTGTGTTGAAAGTGGTATCTTATCATATGTTATGTTGAAAGTAGTATCTTATCATATGTTATGTTGAATGTTGTATCTTATATGTTATGTTGAAAACTGTATCTTGAATGTATGAATTCCCTACATGTTTTTTAAAATAAATAATTAATATTTGAAGTTGAGCTTTTTATCAGAAAAATGTGAGTAGCAATTGCGAATAGATATCTTTCAAAAAAATAAACTGTGCAACTTAAGATTCATTATTTTATTAATATTTGTTATTTTATTCATAAGGCATTTATAAATATACATAAAAATATATCAAGTTTTTAAGAAAAATGTTAAGGCATATAAAAGGCATAAATGAGAGACTAATATTAAATTATTTACAAAACTTTCAATGGATAAGAATATAATACTTATATCAATATATAAGACACTTTAAAACACAAGCTCGTGAGTTATCAGGTAAGTAGCAATTTTTTACATTCAATTCATTAATGCAATTGCATAATGAAAAGAATATCATATTAATCCATAAGAAACCTGCTCTTATAAAAAGTCGACTAGTTAAAATATTTATAAAAATTTAAAATCTCACATAAATAAATGCTTTTGTCTATTATATTTTTTTTTTATTTTGATTTATTTATTTATTTTTCCTTTTTTACAGTTGTAGGACTGAAAACTTAAGTCAAAATGATTTTTTGTACAAGTAAAAGAATGTCATAAATGCAATAATAAAGACAGAAATTTAAAAAATATATTACTAAAATTTTAAAAAAAACCACAGGGAGTAAAAATATTCAACAAAAAACATAATTAAGGAACTATGATAGGAAGAAATTTTGACATCTGTAAGAAAAAACTAAACTTCTTAGAAAATAAACATATAATAAATTATTAAAAGGAACAATATCAACTATACATTTTTTAAAAATACATATCTAAGAGAATGTATTTATTGCATAAAAACATCTAATAAAATTGTGCAATTATAAAATTCTTTTCGGTGGAACAAATGCACAATTTTATTCTAGTATAGTAAAATTTTTACTATAATCTCAAAAAAAACATATATAAACTGGATCTAAACATTTTAAATATTCTATTAACAATTATCCAATATGCTCCAAATAGAAAAATTGTATGAAATTCATTATTGGCTAAAATTTCACACTTTAGTCTACAACAAATATAATAAAAAAGGTTGTATACAACATACGACAGAAAAAACTTTTAGTATACATTTACTTTAAGATAATATAAAATGGTCTCAAAAACCTCATTTCAATAATATAGGCACAGACAATTAATAAATTAGATTAGCTATCACTTGATAAATGCTGTGCTGAAATGGAAAAAAATTGGATTTTGTAAATGCAGGGATAATTAATTAGTCAAACCCTTTTCTTTAAGCCAAAATGTGACAAGACTGTTGCCAAACTTTAACAGACATGCCATTTCTTAAGTTGTATTTTGTTGCTTTAATTTTATTGTAGATATGTTTTTAATAATCGCAATTTAAATTTAAACTTCTTAGCTAATATCAGACTGCTAACAATGATTTTTTTAACTGATTGAAGAAAAAATTATAACAATTAAATTTTTAACAAAACAAATTAACAGAATTCTACAACTTACAATTAACAATCAAATGAGAAAAAATTAACTTAGTACAGGAAGAGAGCTAAAACAAATTAAAAGAGCCAAATAATGTTCAGAAAGATTATCATTTCGGAAACATGCCACAGCAGTATTGAAAAAAATAGACGCAAAACAAAAACATATTGAAAAACATAGTTTCATTCCATGTTTTGACACTAAAGAAAGCAATTGTACCAAAAAGATCATATTCTTGTTTACGTGATAATATTTAAGATCTGTTGAACTTTGCACAGTAATGTAAAACTTCAGAAATATGTTTCCGACATTATTATAAACTAAACACTAATTACAAAACTTACAATATTTAAACAAACTATAAATGAAATTAAAGAATTTTTTCAATACATGTATCTAAAAATTTCACTTTAAATTATGAATGTTTCCTCTGTTAGTAGTTTAAAAATGTCATTACAGATTGAACTATAGATTGAATTTAATTCTTGCAAAGAACAAATTTGAATGTTTAATATTTTGTTAAAAATTGAAATTAATGATTTTAATTAAAGAAGTGTTTCAATGATTTTGAATGCGGCTAAACACTATGAAAAATAGTTATTATTATCGAAGAGTATCCCTTAAATTTACTGTTTTAAAATTTCTGTGATTTTCAAAAAATTATTTGAACTAAAATCACACTAAATAAATTGTACTTAAAGATTATTCCAAATTTTTGAAGCAACTAAAGTTAAACATTTGATTCAATCTTCTAAAAATAAATAAGTAAATAACACTTAATTCACACTCCTAAAATTTCATGATGCCAAGTTTGTTTTTTTCTCTTCTTTATAAGTTTAAAAAAGAAGTTTCAAGAGTTTAAAAAATTCCGAAACCACAAATAATTAGAAGAGATAAGATACCTCAATCACATTTGTGCAATATAAAAATGTCCTCCCAGTCCAACATATCAAATGTTCACAATCTCAGAATTAATAATTATTTATTTTTAAATTAAAAAGCTGGCAATCAACTATGATATAATGTCTTTGCTTCTTAGTTTGAAAGTTAAGTCTTTAGTGAAAACTAAAGTTTTTATTTATACCCAACAATTGTGCAAAATTCGGCCAGGACTTATGAAAAAATCATTTCATCCAATCGTAAAACATAGAATGAAATATTTTTATACGGTTTTATAGTTTCTTTATAGTTATATTCTTAAATAGTTTCTTATATAGTTTTATCAGTTTTGACACTGAAGAAGACAATTGTACCAAATTGATATGTTTTTGTTCATTAAACATTATTTGTACTCTTTTTCATATTGTTTCAGCTTCATTTTTCAATGCATGCCTACATTAAAGGCTGTAAAACTTTCACAAAAGATAAAAAATTTTATGGAAGGAAATGCTATCTATCTTAGAATAATAATTTATTATATTTTATTAATGTGTAATAAAGTGTTAATAATAATATTTAATATCATGAAATAAATCTTTTTTTTTTATTTGCAATTCTATTGGTTGTAAAATGGAGCAGTGAGATCAGAATGTAAAACCATACATTATAATAATATCACCCTTTAAATTAGTTAACTTAATCCAGCTGTTGCTTTACAATATATTCAGTTCTAACTGAACAATGTATATTTAGAAAAAAGCAGTGAAATATATAAGCTTAATATAAAATGAGTATATAAGCATAAATTAAACTTTTATAAAAGCAGAAAAAGCTTAATTAGATATTAAGAAAAATTAAAAAAACACACAGAATTTCAAAAATGAGAAGACCAACCATTTAATATGCTAGCACAGTGCTTCCCAAACTTATGACTTTTGTGTACCTTTTCTAAATTTTTTGTAACGCTGTGTACCACTAATTAAAAAATGAATGTATTTTTTACTGTAAAAAAATTGCACAAAAGTTAAAAATCACAACTGACTGCTGACACCACTAATTATTAACTGTTAACTCTGCAAAAAATAGCCAATAGAAAAATACGTAATCATAAATTTTCATGGCTAGCTTTGTTTTTTTTTTTTTTAAATTTTTAAATTTTCGTTTGTTGTAAGATATTTTGCATAAGAAATGTACCCCCTCTAAACTGTTCCCGTACCCCTGGGGGTATGTGTACCACACTTTGAGAAACACTGAGCTAGCAGATTAATTGTTATGTTACCATTATTCTTAAAATGTTGAGCACCTTAAATAGATTTGTAAAAAAAAATTTCCAGCTGTTTATTTTCACATAAAATATCATTAAGAAAAAGAAAAATTGATAGGCAGGAAAGCAACTTGATTCTATCCAGAAATTGGAATTCAAAACTTAAATGTGATTATTAAGCGAAAAGCGCTATATCCTTTAGCTTTAGATTAGCATTAGAATTTATATCAAATAAGAATTCACTTTTATGAGCCAAAGCAGGATTGAAAGATTAATGAAAAGCCTCTTTTTTGAACAACTTGAGAAATATTCATTCAGTCACATTAACACAGTAATTTTTTTTCATCCAAAATAAGTCTTAAAGTTAATAAACAAAATATATTAATGATTTGTATTTATGCAAAAGTTGAGTGATAATTGTAAAAATTTTGCATAAATACAAATGACATCCTTACTAAAACAAAGATTTTACAATGCATGTAAATATAGAATGATGTATGAAATTTTTAAACGTGCTTACAAAGATACAATAAGCCTAATGTCTAAACACAGTGTAGTGTCAATATAAAAACGTGAAATATAAATATTATTTGAGGCAGTTCAGATTTAAAATTGCATAAAATAAATTACTAACTTATGTATATTAGCACTGTGAAGAGGCCAAACGAGAATTTGTTTCGGAATATAATTTTAAAATAAAAATAAAAAATATTAAGCTCTTAAAAATGTAACTACCTGCAATAAAGTTAACAATGAGATTATACTTCCAACATAAGATAGAGCTGAGATTTTATAAATGGTTCACATGTCTAATAGCATTAATTAAGCATATTGTATTAAAAAATCTCAATTCAATTCACTCCTTAAGCTAATTACTTGATGACGAGGAACATCGTCGAGTTCTGCTCATCTCTACATCATCTCTACCCGAGCGACTCCGATTGAGGCGTCCAGGACAAAGTTCGGGAGTAAAGAGACTCAATAAATATATGGCAATACAGGTCCATGATGAGGCAATTTTTACCCAAACAGAAGCCCAGTTTCTTTCAAAAGTAAGAAGATGAGCTTGCTCTGGTCTGAAAAATGTACACGTAAAATACAATAATTAAAAAAATGCAATTTACATGTAGAATAACTGAATAATCTTATGATCCAAAGATAAGTACAAAATCAATAAAAGAAAATTAATTGAAACAACAGATGTTGTATACTAGAAGCCTATTATATTGAAAAGAATATTCTTGCATAACACCAAAAAAATAATGGATAGTTATATTATAATCAGATAAAGAAACTTCAGTGTAAACATTGTATTGAGAAGAATATAATGTAACTTTCATTTTCCTTACTTGCTTTAATATTTAATTTCATTAATACTTTTTCATTGTATCAATATTTGTAAAAGCTTTGAAGCTTGAAAAACTGAATTTCAAGAGAGTATAAACGAATGACTTATGTTTTTAAAATCAATTTTATTCAAAGTTAACAAAGATAGAAAACATTTTTGTTATGATTCACTACTGCCATAACCTTATTTAAATTTCATTAGTAGAAAACATTAATCTAGAATACACCAATTCAAAACTACTACTTTCTTATTTAGAATAGCTGATATATACAATTTAACAGCAGAATCATAACTTTTTTGTAACTTTCATTAAAGGTATTTATGCTTATAAGTATTTAATATAAGTTTAAATACCTTTATCTTTTATTGTTAATAAGAAAAATTAAGTTATGATTTTCAATTTTTTAAGATAAATAATTTAAAAAATAAAGAAATAATAATTAAAAATATTTTTTAAATTAAAAAATAAATAAAAAAAACTACATTAAAAGCAATTCAAATTAAAAACAAGTAACGGTTTATTCATGTAAAATGTGATTGTTAATTGGGTGTTAACTTTTGTGATTAAATGATTGACAAGTTCAGTTTCTAGAAATTGTCTATAAATCAGTTGTCTATAAGATTTATGATTAAATAATTTGGATCAAATTACAGTTAAATTTTCCAACTAATTTAAATAATTAAAAGAGAATACACAAATCTAGTTAAAATAAGCAAACATCTCAGATCTTATCAACAAAAATTCATGGTTGTTCAACATAAATAAACAGAACAATTCATCTAAGTTTTCTAACCTCATTCTGGGAAAATTAGGAAACATTACACTATTTTGTAATTACAACAAAACAAAATAACCTTTGAAAATTTTTCCATAAAACACAACAAAAAAGGTTTCCATAAAACACAACGAAACTATCACAACGAAAAAGGTTAAATACATAGATAAAATCAATTTCTGATTCCTGGAAACAGAGCACAAACAATTATGGCAGCAAGATACAGGTTGGTACAGATGTAAAATCAAGGTAAAAAGGTCAGATGTAAATGGTTGGTCAGATGCAAAATCAAGATTTAGTCCAAAACTTAGAGTTAAGTAATTGGGACATGAAGACTAACACAAAAAAGGCAAAGCAAAGAGTAAATTTGTAAAAATTTTACAAATATCAAACAAAAACCTTAGATTTAAATTTCCCTCCTTTTTCCAATTCAAGCAAATTCAATCTCTCCATTTACAGTACTGCTTAACAAAATTGTTATCAACACAATTTTGAAAGATTACATTATGAAATAAAGTTCATCAAAAACGAAACTATGTTTGCAATTAATTTTTTTTTTCATATTATTTTGCTAAATGTATAGATTGATTTAGTATTGTCTTAAAAATGTGAAACCCATCAGATCTTATCAGCGAAGAAATCATATTTACTCAACTTTTTTAAAAGGAATAAATCAAATAAGTTCTTTTGCATCACTTGGGAAAAATTGAGAAAAGTTTATTGATTGTGGCAACTTTAAGTTTATTAATTGTGATATGATGACAGTCACAAAAAAGGCAAGGTAAAAGAATAATTTCTAAAAAAATTTCAAACATAAAACAAGAAGAATAGATCTTTATCTCCCTGCTCCTTTCAAGCAAATTCAATTTTTCCATCTACCCTACTGCATACCAAAATTGCAGTCAATACATTTTTGAGAGAATATATTTTAAAATAAATTAAAGTTCATCTAAAACTAAACTATTTTTACGATTATATTTTTTTCATACAAAATTTTGTTAAATGTATATAAATATTTATCTTAAGATTGTTGTCTTAAAGACTAGTTGATTGTCGTAAAGATTAGCCCAGGCAATAGAATAATTAAATCGAAAAATTGAGTGAGAGTTTTTTTTTTCTTTTTCCTTTTTTGACCAATTGCTTATCCAGAAAATGTTTTTATCTAGGAAAAACTTGTTATTTACATATAGTTTCATATGTTTTAAAAATACAATATTTTTTAAATCATCTTCGAAAACTAGAGACAATTTCCTATTAATTCTATACCAACAATGTGTCTGTACGGTCATTACTCAAAAAATTATAAGTATGGGAATAATGACTAAATTATAAAATAGTAAAATTTTAAAAATAAAATAAAATTTATAAAATAATAATTTATAGAAGGTTTTAAATTAGTAAAAAAATTTCTTGAGGGATCTAGCATATAAAAAAAATTTCTAGGGGGAAGATCAAAAATTATATGCAAATAATAAGTGGATTTTTCCAAGGAAAAAAAACATATTTCTCAACAAAAAAAATTATCCCAAAATGCAAATTCATGTTGGGCACTCCAAAAAACATAAGTATACAAAAAATAAAACTCATGCCAATTTCTCAAAGCAATGTCCATTTTTAAGCTCTTTTCACTGGACTAATACAAAACCCATCAGATCTTATCAGCAAAAAAATCATATTTACTCAACTTATTTAAAAGGAATAAATCAAATAAGTTTTTTTGCATCACTTGGGAAAAATTAAGAAAAAAGCAAAAAATCAGAAATAGAAATAAAGCTAACTAATAATAACCTGCTATAACTTTAAAAAAAAAGTTCATTGTAGCCAAATAAAGAAATCAACATGAGATCAACTGAAATATCAAATTCATTTTTCCTAATTACTTATTCTTGAAACTAATGCTTTTTTTCCTTCTATTTTCAACATCGAAAGAATATATTATGAGATGAATTATGGTTAAAATAAAACTGTACTATTTTCATGTAAAATTTAGATACGTAAGAAGAACCCATCAGATCTTATCAGCAAAAATCATGTTTGCTCAACTTATTAATAAGGAACAAATCAGGTATGTTTTCTTTTTTTGCATCACTTGGGAAAATTGAAAGAAAAAGTACATTCATTATGATCATACAAAAATTCTTTGAAGTTTCCAAAAACAAATGATATAACTATATTAAACGAACAATTATGACTCTAATTGGCAAAACTAATCAAATCTAAATCTTATCAGCACATTTGCTAAAAAAAAAAAAAAAAAAAAACTTTTCTTGAAGTTAGGGGGCTCAGATCTTTGATAAAAACATATCTACAAGTTGCAATACTTTTGAACCCGTAATTCAACCAGTAATGAAACCAGTAATTCATGGCATTGAATGTTATTTCATGCTAGACTATTGTCACACTAACTGTTAAGACAAATTCAGTGAAAATTTGAGACGAAAGTTATTAAAAAATCTTTTTTTCATAAAAATGCGCTTTGACCGGCAAAATCTACCAACCAACTGAGCAACATTGAACCACAAAAGTATATATTAATGTGAGTAAATATCAATAAGTTGTACCTAAAAAATAAACATTTGTGTAGTGTATATTCGGTGAGACCTTAAAGAAGCAAGAAACTGATCAATACTGCCCACAGCAAAACTAAACGAGTTCGAAATTTGCTGGAAAAGAAGAGCAGAAACGAAATCAATCAACAGACCTATGGTTTCTGAGTTAACTTTTTTTATAATATGTCCCTAAAGTTAGAAACCCTTTACCTGAGTAATTGCATACAGAAATAATTATGGAGCTGCTGTTATAAATTGTTTTAAAATACTTGATTTAGGTCTAATTTAAATATCTAAAGCCTTCTCTTGAAGTGAGCAGCAACCTCAATCTAGAACTTACTGGGGGAAAAGGAGATTTATAGTTTAATAATTCAAAGACACTCAAGTGACATTTGTTTTGTACTTCTGTTCTACTCTGAATTGAATTATAGTAACTCAAAACCTCGCTCATATGAATATAACCAATATATCAGAGGTTATAGAGCTTTTATATACATTGCTAAGAATATAAGTACATTGTTGTGCAGGCAAACAAATAATTAAATCCAAAACCCATCAGATCTTATCAGCAAAAACTCATGTTTGCTCAACCTATTGAAAGGGAACAAAATCATTATATTTTTTTTTTACATCACTTGGAAAAAATTAAGGCAAAAAAAATTTTTTTTTTACTGTACTCACAAAAACATAAGAAAATATTATTTAAGATGAAATTACAAAAAACACAAAACTATAACAAATATTTACTCATAATTCAGAAATATTAAAATTATTTGAACAAAAACATTATTCTTCTGTCCACTTTCTCCAGAATTTTTAACTTCAGTTTTAAGCATATGGCTTTACACATCCTTTGAACTATTAAGTCTAAGTAAAGATAAAATCAAGAAAAATTTGAATACCTCATATTTTAACTTCAAAATAAACTACCTCACATTACACTACACACAAAAAAAGATTGCAATTTCAAAGAAGAAAAATATGATAGATGAATTTATTTAAGATGATGCTATATTGGAGAAGAAACTTTTCGATCCAAATTCTGTTTTATTTCCATTGGTTCAACAAAATTTAAAGTTAAGAGAAAAATAAGTTCAAGTGAACCTATGGAAAACCATAAATTTCAAACATTGAAAAAATGTTATCAAAATGGAGAATGGAATATGTTGGAGAACTTTACAACATAACTTTGATCAATCATCTATAATTTGTTTCATTTTAATATTTTGAACTTTTTTTTTCAGCATTTGAAACATCATTGCTTACTCTAGGTTTACCTTAACTCATTTTATCTATATTTAATTCCTTTTTGGAGGTGAAAAAGAATTTGCCGTAAAGAGTTTCTCTATGGTATAGCGTCCTCTTAACCATTTGTCAAAATTTACAAAGATAATGAATGAATACAGTGACAGGGGCCTCTAATCTTCACGCGAAATTGCAATATGCACTGCCATTTCTAAATAATGAAAAATTATCAATATTTCACTATTTTTTGACCAATTACTACATTTAAAACCACCTAGGATAAAAATAGTTGGACTTGTCACTCTTTCTTCATTCACAGAAAATTTAAGATATTTCAGGTTTATTGAGCTGTAGTATCAAAGTATTCCTGGAAATTTTTGATGTCCGTTGATTCATTGTCATTGGAAAATCTTTTGTTTTGAAAGCATAAAAAATGTTTAAAAAACTAAACAAAACTTAAGATAACTCTAATGAAAAGAAGAGTTCATTTTGTGAGTTCTAATGGGCATTGAAATAACATTACATCTATGGAATAACACAAATGGGAATTAATGAATTAGTTATTAAGAGGATAGATAACTATAATGGTTATTGGTACTTAAAAGCATAGACTGTATAAGTATATATATATTTATCAAATAAATAATACTACCTTAATATTATACTTAAATAAATAAAACCTTATATATAAAAAACCCATTGGATCTTATTGGCAAGAAATCATGTTTGCTTATTATTAAACTCAATTCCTTATTGTGAATTTTCAAATACAGCATATACCAATTATTATTATTATTATTATTTTGATACTTTTACAGACAAACTTATTTTAACTGACATGGATAATTGAAAGTCAAATCTTCCAACCACATCCGAAAAAAACAATTAAAATGTCATCCTTGACAATAACAGGTCACATGAACAAAAAAAACAAGTCTAGTACTGAATAATATGCAATAAAAAGTTTCTGATTCAAAAAGCAAGATATTTTATGGCTAGTTTTTACGTAAAAAACAATAAGTTTGATGATTCATACTGCTAATTAATACTTAAAAATCATTCCAAAAAAAAAACTTTTCCTTAAAATTCTTATGTTCTTAATTTAATATCATGTTACATATCTCTTAAAAATACTATATAATATACCAGAGCTCATTCTAGGCAGAAAAAAGGGTAGGGTGCAAAAGTTTAAAAAAAAGGGTATTATTATTCTAAAAAGACAATAATTTCTTTCTATGAGCTTTACACGTTCTATTAAAAAACATTGTCAATTTTTTTTTTACTTTACTAAAAGCAATTATATTAATTACTAATTTTCATTAATAAATTAACATATATCGAGTTAATGAGCTAATTAGCTCAGTAATTTATTTAAAGTGCACGCATATATTAATAAAATAATAAATGAATGTTTTTAAGTGTCTGTAGTTATGATTTAATAATTAAAATGATTAATAATAATTATGATTTAATGATAGTGAAGTAACTGTAAACTTTCAAAGACAAGTGCAACAAGGGGGTGTGATGGCTATTTTTCCTTTCCCATATAAATCCATGTATTGACAATGACAAACTAAACAAAAAGAGTTGAAAATAAAGAAGGGTTGAGGAAAGAAAGGGCAAAAAGGCTATGGAGTCTATTACATCAGAGCACTAATTTACTCCAGGNAAAAATCATTTCCAAAAAAAAAAAAAATTCTTAAAATTCTTATGTTCTTAATTTAATATCATGTTACATATCTCTTAAAAATACTATATAATATAAATATACTATAAAAATATACCAATAAATAACAGCTGATTTTTTAATAGTGACCTTAAACTGTATTGATTATATGACTGTAAATCACTATATTGGGTTTAAAAAAGGTAAATAATGTATAAAATGCTAAAAAATAAAAATAATGACAAAAGTACAAACTATTTAAAATAATCTACTCACTTAAACCAATGAGTGAGTTGCATCATTATATACAATGATGCCAAGAAAAACATGACATGGAAAAATGAATAGCTGTAAGTAACACCCTCTGCTTCATTATGAATAACTTTTTGCCCTCCATCTTCTTCAACCCTCTTAGATGCTAAAATTTAAAAACATCATTAATTATTATAGAATTAAGAATATAACAGTAAAACCTAGAAGGCACACACAAGTTTTGCAACCAAATAACTTAATGTAAAGAAATTACAGCATATAATACAATATTTAATAACAACAATGAAATGAGTACAAGTAATTTAACAGGGGCAAAAATTTGCCACTGAGCATTTCTGAATCTCCGACTGTCACGACTATAAATTTCTAAAGGCTTATAAAATTTATAAAGGCTGTCACGACTATAAATTTCAATGAGTTACCATCAGTTTGATTTTGAAATTTAGTAGTCATGGGTCTGATAACTGAAGAAATTTTAATGTTATCATACTTAAGTAATTCCATTCTTGGAAATTTGATGTTGATAAATAACTGATTTTACTAACACAAATCGGCGGCACTGTAGTTATTAAATTAGAAATTTTAAGCTGTATTTTATATTACACCTTTTAACAGAAATGTTTCAAAAATGATGTATACCTTAAACATTAAATTTATATTTCATATTTTATTTTACTAATTAAATTAGAACAATTAGTAATATGACTAGACACATTACTCCTAACGTTACTAATTAGAAATAAAATTAAAATTGAATTACCTCTTCTAGATGATGAACTATCACAGCATGAACAACAGTCCTAGAGATAATATATAATTGAATACATTAGACTAAATATTTAAAAAAAAAAAAATTATGTTTAAATTAGTAGAAATTGCACAGTTGGTTCATAAATTACAATTAACTGAAAATTATTTCACTTTTCTTTAAGAACTTATTTCAGTCATTGAATATGATCAAACCTTTAAGTCAGATAAAATAAGACGAAACATATCACAAATAAATATTTAATTCAAACACACTGATTAATCAGATGTTTCAATTTATCGATATGTAATAACTATACATTGATAAAATTAAATTAACGTTGTTTCAATATATTTACCACAGTTCTGATTTTATTTATTAGTGTATTACGTATGATGCATATCACACTACTTACTTTAATACTACAACTCATAAAAAAATACTATAGCAGATACGACTTATACTTAAATTAAAGAAAAAAATTATGTGGTTATTTCTATTAGTTTAATATCATTCTCTAGAATGCTTAAAATTTTCAATACTTAAAACACATTACATAAAAATTGTGCCCAAATACAGTTGAATTAAAGTACATAAACCTAAAAATATGCATAAAAATAAATCTATCCTGAACTTACTTTAGGATCTGGGGCTCTTATTCCTAACTTGTATGAAAAATGAGATGTGCGCAATCTGTAAAAAGGAAGAAGAAAAAAAACAGTAAGCAATACAATATATGTAAAAACATAGTAAGCATTTCAGATAAAAGGACAGCAGGGCAATTTCTCAAGATGGAAGAAGAAGAAAAAAAGACAATTGCTCCGGATCAAAGTTAGTTCAGGGCCTGGTTATAATTCACATGAAAAACGAAAAGTTAAAAAACAAAACATTTTTTAAAAAAATATTTGAAAATTTTACAATTTTTTAACCCTTGACAGTACTACAAATCAAGTAAATAACAAAGTAAGCCATTACACGCTAAGTTTTCTGCAAAAACTTGCAATATCAAAACACTTTAACATTATTAATTTAGTAAGTTTCTGAAAATTAATACTTTAAAGAATAATATTTAACGTATAAAAAAGAATATTTTGAAGTATAGAAATTACACTTTTCTTGTTTAAAGGAGGGGATCAACAATGAATTTATTACCCAGGGCATTTAAACCCTAAACCTGATACCCTCTGAAGTTCAATAAAAGATGAGAAAATAATTCCTCAACTATCAAACATATCTACATGTAGATTATGTGTTCTAAATCATATGCTTCATAAAACAAAAATTACAAAATTTTTACTGCGCTATTCCACAGAAAAACAATACACACAGAAAAAATATATTAAAATAAGTACAGTAGAGAACCGATTATCCGGAATGATCGGGATCATCACTATTCCGGATAACTGATTTTTTCCAATTTTCTGAATCGCTACAAAAAGCCGTTTTTTTTATTGTCAAACTTAACTAAAAAAATATATATATATTTAGAATAATTTTAAAAAACCCTTACTTCTTTTGACAGTGTAGGGAACTAATGATTACTTCTAAAATGATGGTAAACATCTTTTAAAAAAGAAAGAATTCTGAAATCTTTTGAGGGAAAAAAAAAATTCTTTCGAATGGCGGGAAAATGTATCGAATTTCGTTCCGGTTTTCTGGTTTTCCGGCATTCTGATTTTCGGATAAGAGGTACTGTACATATAGGATTAGATGGTTATACGAGAAAGTTTTTGGATTAGAAACCAGACATACAATAAATGAGTTTAGATTTTGGAAAGGTATGTTTGTTTAAATGTAGGGTTTATCAGTACAAAATGGCTTTCCTGTGCTGAACATAAACAACAATGCAAATCTCAAAGTAAATAAATTACATTATGTTGATAAATGTTCAATGCAAGTTTGATGCTAAAAATGAATTAGTTATGATAAGAGTACAAATGAACTAGACTGCAAATTTTCAGTTAAAATGATCTTATCAAATTATATAATTACTAACGTAGAGCTAATGACCATGATAAATGTAATGATAACTCCTCCATAGCATATAATTTCTTTGTTGGAGAAAATAGACACTTCAGATGGGCCACAATATTCTTCATCTTCATCTGATCTCTTTAGCTGAGTTCCAACACCACTACCTATCAACAACAACAAAAAATAATTTAAAACCTTGATATCAATTATTGTAAAGAAAAAATAACAGAATATTTATAAATTATAGTTTCAGTCATAAATATTTAATTAAACACCTATATTAAACCTATTATCTAACAGATATAATATTTTTGTACATAATTTCACAACAAAAAACAGCATTAACTAGAATTGCATATTTTACATCAAATATGTAACACTTTCAACAGAGCAATAAAAATAAATCATAAATTCTAGTAAAAAATGCCCTGAAAAAACATCATGTATTTTAAAACAAAACAAAAAAAAATTTAAATAGCCACATAACATTAATAACAAACCATAAATTGTTGGTTCACTTGAAAGAGCAGACCAAGTTAAATAGACCACATAAGCTGATATGATTGATGATTGGAGTAGGCCAGCTCTTGAATCACCAGTATCTGAAAACATTTTAACTCATGTAATAACAACAAAGCACAAATGATATAAATTTAAAATTTCAGCTTTCTAGCTTGTTTAAGTAACATATTCATTATGAAATCAGAAAAAAAACATTAAACTACTACATTCATTGAATAAAAAAAATGGTGAAATTATAAGTTCAAAATAAAAAATGATACAATCTTTTTTTTAAAAAAAAAAAGGATTCTTAGATAAGAAAGAACTAAATGAACATTTTTAAAGAATAATCTGTCATAAAATAGATTTAAATAATGATATTTTTAAAGACACTCTCCGAATCTTTTAATGATCTTTATTTCGACACCATCCAAAGAAGAGCATATTTCATTTAGAATAAAAAATAATTTAGAAAGGTTTTACAATGTTACACAACTTATTTAAAACATTAATAATTTAAAAATCATGCACAAAACATGTAGAAACCATGTTTAAAAAAATGTTTATTAACTACATAAAAGTGCAGCTGCCGTTAAAATGAAGCAAAACAACCACTTTTCAGACAGGTTACTAACATGAATATTTTGTCCACCAAAATTCCTATTCAAAGTTGGCCTTCTTACTCTAATATACATGAAATTGTAAAGGTAAATGGGCAAGAAAAAACAAGCCACATTACTCAGGTCACAATCACATATACTTAACCATAAACCTATTTGAAAGGTAGATTATATTCCCACAATATCGAATAAGCAGATAAAACAACAGAATACCCTTACCCTTGCATAAGTCTACAAGATTTGCAGTTAAATCTATTAATCACTACAAAAGCAAGCTGACTAATCAAGTTATCTGAGCAGCATCAGTTGCAAATTTGTTGCACTTGCTTCAACTATATTGGTAATTTTTTATGCTATATTAAGCAATTTATGTACTCAATAAGTTAACCAAATGGTTGGATATATTTATAAAAAGTAATGTTTAAAAATGTTTAATAACAAAAAGAAGTTTACAAAATAATTTTGACAACTTCAAAAGTAAATTCTTATAAATAGTACCACTCACTTTTCTCTACACAAGGCATTATAGATATAAAAGAACACAGAAGGCACAATCCACCATTTGCTCCTATGAAGATTTTATTAGTATAACATCCTTCTGCACGAGTGTAGTTCTGTGCAATCAAAACTATTCCAATAACAACTGCAGTGTAGATTATCATTGCACAAAACACCATTACTATAAGAGAAGAAAGTATTTATAGGTGATTTTTAACAACACACTTAATATAAGCTTTGTCGGAATACCAAATGTTTGGCAAACAGGCTTTTTTGGCTTGTCAATTACAATGTCAATACAAATTATTTAGAATTCAGCCACTGAATAAATTTTTACTAACAATCTGAATTTTGTGTGATAAAATTTTGTCTACCTATAAAAGGTGATAAACTAAATATAGTTAAGGTAATTTTAAGAGAAAATGATTCTATGTAGACGAATTAATTAATTAAATTTTACAAATAAGTACACTCAATAAACCTAAAAGAGAGAAGGAAAATGTTTGATTCTGTCAATAAGGTCTAATAAATTAATAAATCTATCAAACACCTACTCTCCCTGATGTTATGCCTATGCAATTGTAGATTTAAAAATAGTGCATAAACATAACACTTTTCTAGTCTTTAAAATATTATGCAGACAAAAAGCAAATCAACACACAGTATGTCTGTCTTTACGAACTTATTGTTTTACAATTTAAAATTATCCTTTGCCTTCATGCTTCCTCATTAAAATAACTTTATTCTCAAAAAATATATCTTAATTTTTTTTTAAATATATCTTAATTTTTTTAAAAATATATCTTAATTTTTTAAAAAATGTATCTTCATTTGACTTAAACATAATTTAATTATAAGATTAATTTTAAACATATATTCCATTGAATAAAAATATAACTGCAACTATTTTAATTGAACAGAACATAGTAAAAAGCTGAAAAATATAATACATACAAACAAACCAACAGCTACTTCCTCCGCGAGATACTCTTTGCAACCTAAAATTAAAAGCCCACATTTAAGTGAAACACAATTAAAAAGGAAATTACATAGAATACAATGTAGAAACAATATAAAACAAAAATAGAATCAATAAATATTGAATAATAAATTAGTGTTAAACTATTGTAATAATAAATATAAATTATTTATATTGGAAAATAATATGAAACAATGATTTAAATATATTTTGGATTTAAAGATAAACTTAAACAATGAGAAAGTCTATCTCACAGAAAGAACCGTTTATGAACAAATAGTATGACAGTACAATTAACAATAAATGTATTACTTTATTCTAAGAAAAGTAAAAAATACAACACTTCAATATTTTGAAAGACAAATGAAAAATCTGGTTAGAAATTAAACTCTGTCGAAGTAAATGAAAATAAAAACTAAACTCAAAAGCAAAACTGAATTTTTTTAAAGGAAAAGATAAATGTTATGTATAATACAGCAAAATTGTAAAGTTATTATATTTTATTATAGGGTAAACCAACCAGTGAAGGAACATTTCATATATATTGATTAAAAATAAGAATTTGAAAGTTTTTTTTTTTAGATTGATTGGTAACAATAATCGATTGGTACTGCCAAACAATAGGAAGTCATTTAGCAATATTTTGGATTACCTGGTCAAATAGACTTCTCTGGAAAAATTTTTGAATCTGTTATTATCTCTGCAACACCTTGTTTCGTTGAAAAAATTATAAGGTGAGTGCTTGTATTTATATGTTTGAAGTGGAATTAATTGTATGTAATAGTCTTATTTTTCTCCCTGTGAAAAAGAGAATTCGAAATATAGTTATTGAAGTTACGTTTTATTTTTCTTAAAGCACCATAGCATAATCAATCACTGAGATAAGGGGGTGTTTATTCACTGGATCACCAAACGATGAAAAACCAGTGAAGGAACAAGTGTTTCTTTACTGGGTTCTTTTCCCAGTTAATGAAAACAAAAGAAATTTTTTAATTTTCTTGTACTTTTAGTCATATTATACATCAAAATTCTGTTTAAAAGACAAAAAACAACTTC